AATATCATGTGCATAAGGCGGCTATGGATGACAGTGAAAGCCCCAAATCCATTTGCAGGGTCTCCAAGTGGATTAAGCCTCTGGTGCGTCCACTCTGACACTTGAGCAGGCATATATGAGTGGCCTTACTATCAGACACAGCACATTAGAAAATGGATTCATGCGGATATAGTTAAAATGTATCACCTTATCGTTTGTTCTCCCCTTTATTGTTCCTAGTTTTTATTATTTTCTGCCTTCTTTTTTATTGCAGTTTTCCTCTGTTTTAGATCTCTTACTGTTGTTGTGTTTCTGTTGCACTGTGTTGTGCTTTATATGTTTTTCTTTAAATGAAATCCAGGGCAGTACCTGGATTGTTTCTTAGGGTTATTAAGGCAGGGAAGTTGGGATTGGGGGTGGGGAATTAATAATGAGTACAAGAAAGAAGAAAATGTTCTAAGATTGATCGTGATGATTGCACAATTATTCTTAATATGATTGAACTGTTGAGTTGTATAGTTTGTGAATTATATGCCAATAAAACTGTTAACTGAAAAAAATTCTTTCCCCACTCTAAGGCCATAAAAATTTCTCTATACAGTCTTCAAAAATGTTTATTGTTATGCTTTTACATTTTTGTTATAAATCTACCTGGAATTGATTTTGCTATATTGTGAACTAGGGTTTCAGCTTTATTTTGGTTGCTCATATATAGTAATTGACAGTGCTATTAATTAAACAGTTTTTGTGCCTATTGATCAAAAAATGAAATAAGATAAAATTATGAGGGTGTTTGTCAGGGTTGTATCCTTTCACCATACTTATTCAATCTGTTTGCTGAGCAAATCATCGGTGAAGCTGGACCATATGAAGAACGTGGCGTCAGGATTGGAGGAAGACTTATTACCAACCTGTGGCATGCAGTTGACACAACTTTGTTGGCTAAAAATGAGGAGGACTGGAAGCATTTGCTGATGAAGATCAGGGATTGCAACTCAATGTAAAGAAAACCCCAAATCCTCACAACTGGAGCATAATGAAAAGTGGAAGAGGATTTCATCCTGCTTGGCTCCCCGATCAATGCTCAAGGAAACAGCAGTCATGAGATCAGGGATGCTTTGAATTGGGTAAATCTGCTGCACAAAAGCTCTGTAAAGTGTTGAAGAGCAAGGATGTCACTTTGGAGACTAAGGTATACCTGACCCAAGCCATGGTATTTTTAAAAAATCATTTGGTTGGGGAAGCCATGGTATTTTCATTCGTCTCATATGCATCTGAAAGTTAGACATTGAATAAGGAAGAATGAAGAAAAATCTATGCAATGAACTACGATGCTGGAGAAGAATTTTGAAAGTACCATGGACTACCAAAAGAACAAAGCAATAGATCTTGGAAGAAGGATGGCTAGAGTGCCCCTTAGAAGCAAGGATGGTGAGACTTCGTCTCTCATACTTTAGCTATGTATCAGGAGAGACCAGTTCCTGGAAAAGGACATCGTGCTTAGCAGAAGGGCAGCAAAAAAGAGGAAGACCCTCAAGGAGATGGATTTACATAGTGGCTGAGACAATGGGCTCAAGCAAAACAATTGTGAGGATGGCACAGGTCTGCGTGGTGTTTTGTTCTGTTGCACATAGGTTCGCTGAGTTAGATTTAACTGAACAGCACCCAACAACAACAGCAATATAGTCTGTTTCTCTAATTGCTCTAGATAACGTGTCAAAATTTATGGGTAAAGAAAGGTCTTGCCCCCAAACAAAAAAATCATATCGATGTGAATGAGGGGGAGGGTGGAGTGGAGACCCAAGGCCCATCTGTAGACAATTGAACATCCCCTGACAGAAGGGTCACAAGGAAGAGATGAGCCAGTCAGGGTGTAGTATAGCACCGAGGAAACATACAACTTTTTTCTAGTTCTTTAATGCTTCCTCCCCCCTCCTATTATCTGACCCCAATTCTACCTTACAAATCTGGCTAGACCTGGGCATGTACACTGGGACAGAGGAGAGCTGGAAACACAGGGAATCCAGGACAGATAAGCCCCTCAGGACCAATAATGAGAGTAACAATACCAGGAGGGCAAGGGGAAGGTGGGGGGAGAAAGTGGGATCTGATCACAATGATTTACATATAACCCCCTCCCAGGGAGATGGGCAACAGAAAAGTGGGTGAGGGGAGACAGCGGTTGGTGTAAGACATGAAAAAAAGAAAAATAAATTATCAAGGGTTCATGAGAGAGGGAGGGTGGGGGAGGAGTAAAAGAAGTTGATACCAAGGGCTCAAGTAGAAAGAAAATGTTTTGAAAATGATGTGGCAACAAATGGACAAATATGCTTGACACAATAGATGGATGGATGGTGATAATGAAATGATTAAAAAAGAAAGAAGAAATGTCCTGCACATCTTTTGTTATATTTATTTCTTGGCATTTAAAGAAGTACAAATGGAATCTTTAAAATTTCATTGTGTGCTACCTGTATATTTAAAATACAACTAGTTTTTGCTGTGGAGCTGCAGCCTTCCTAACTTCATTGACTAATCCTTATAATTTATCTGAATATTGAAAATACACGGACTGCTAAAAGGACAAATGGATCTGTCTTAGAAGAAGTACAGCCAGCGTGCACCTTAGAGGCAAGAATGGCAAGACTTAGTTGTACATGCTTTGGACATGTTGTCAGAAAAGACCAGTCCCCGGAGAAGAACATCAAGCTTGGTAGAGAGGGAGCCAAAAGAAGGCCGCTCTCAAGGAGATGGGGGCACACTGTGGCTGCACCAATGGGTTCAGGCATAGGAACCATTATGACAATGGCACAGGACCGGGCAATGTTTCGTTCTGTTGTGCAAAACGAACATCATTATGGGTCAGAACCGACTCGATAGCACTAACAGCAGCAACAACAGCATGATTTTTCTTCAGATTTAAAATTTTTTACACACTCATATCTTCTCAGAAGAACCACAAGGTTATTTCATCCTTTCCAATTCTATCTCACTGATGTTTTTCTTTGTCTGCTCCCCTGGCCAGGGGATGCATTCCTATGGTCAAGTGACATGCTGCTGCTGAGTGTGCTTGTCTCATTTTTCAAACTCCAGGAACAAAGTCTTCCAACGAGTCCTTATTAGTATGATAATTTCAGTAAGGATTTTGGAAGCACTGTCAGTTTAATGGTGTCCCTTTCTGTTTTCTATATATGTATTTTTTTTACCATGAATTAAATCATCAAATACTTCTAAATCGAGATCATATAATTTTTTCCTTATTTGGTCAATGTAATGACAGAATTATTTTCATTATATAAAATTAAGCTCAGATTCTTCTAACAAAGTCCTTAGTTGATTATTATCCTTTTAGCATAGATCAGTTTGATAATATTTTGCATAGATAGCACTTTATATGTTTATGCCTGAACATCAATGATCCGCTATCTTTTCTCACTCAACACAATGCTACACATTGCTGTATGTACCTATAGCTCAGTTTCCTCTTCTCAGAATGTTCTAATGCCTTCCCGTCTTACTCAGAATAAAGTGCAGCCCTAAATTATCTGATTCTAACCACCTCTCCTGACTCATCTCTTTAACCTTCTTTGCTTCAGCTATTCTGTCTGATTCCCCTGCTATTTACTGAGCCCAGTAGGCCTGCTCATTGTACCTACTCTTCCATCTGCCTGGACTCCGATTCCCCCAGGTATCAATGTGGCTCACTTCCGCACTTCAATCAGGTCTCTGATGGTCAAATGTCAACTCCCTAAAGAACTTACCACCTTTTTTTATTGCGCTATTTGCTTATATGATTCTCCCAAGAATAGAATGTAAATTCAGTGAGAGCAGGGACTTGATCTATTTCTCTCAATGCTGTGTCCCTAAAATCTGGTACATGCCTTGCACATACTAAGGGGACTGCATGTGACATCTGGTTAGTAGTCCAAAGAACATGGTTAGGACATATCTATTCTCCCAGCGACAGACATCTAAGTTATCTGCAAATTACTAGTACCACAAATAATTCTGGGGAGAATTTGCTTTACCATGAGAAGAATGTTTACAGGTGTAAATGTGGGTCTTAGTTCCTGATTCCAAGCCCTTTGATCCTACAGTTAGGTATAAAATCTGAACAAAACTTAAACCAGAATATCAAGGCACTCAAATGTGATCAAAAGCAGGTGGAAAGTTGAGAATTTACCCTTAAAAGATCCCAACTTCAATGGGTTAGAGTTGTGATTTTGTGTCTAAAGGGGTTTTCCTAACTCCACCCTACCTCTAACTCCTAAAGTAGAAGAAACTCACAGCCTTACTGACTCCAAATAGTAGTTTAGGAGGGGAAATCCTGGAAGCGAGAATAGCTCTTACAGAATTTCTCTTCAAACACAGAGAAATTCTCTACTTTTTGAGGTTATTTCTCAGGAACCAGGGCAAAGAATAAATTCTCAAACTCAATTCTTTACCCAACATCATATTGAACTATGTACTCCATTTTAGCTTCTCTCTACCTTATCACCCTGTTTTATTTTCTATGTCAACAAAAATGAAGCTTACTTATGCATATGTCTCTCTCCATAAAAGTCTCACTAGTTCTTGGAGAAATGCCTGACTCAGTGGGGTATTCAATAGAGAACTGCTGAGTTAACAAAGGACCTTGGATCTTGTGTGCATGACTCACTCAGAGACTAGGGATGGAACGACTGGTAAAGCAGGATGGAGGTATTCCCAATAATGCCATTCGAATAAAAAAAGTTTAAAGCATTACGATTGTGGATGAACACAATACGGAGAGCACAGTAGAGTTGGACCAGGATTGAGGGTTCTAGGTGTTAATCATTGTCAGGTCTTCCTCTCGGGGACATGACAAGCATCCAGACCCGACTCTTCAGTGTGTCCACTCCCCCTCTCCCTAGTTGTTGAATACTCATCCTATTCTACCTCCTCTCCCTCTTGCCCACCCTCCAGTTGTGCCCACCCTGGGCTCTCCCCTCAGTACTTCACTTCCTAGGTGTGCACACACATTACTCCTTGCAATTCTCAGCAGTCTGTCGCCGCTTTATTGTGGGTGTGGGCTTAGGGTAGGGGTGGGCTGCACACATAAACTCTCCGTTGGGCACAGGTGGCTGGGCTGAGCTTCGTGGGCAGGAGCATGTGTGTCAGGATGTTCCTGCTGTGCAGCCTAGTGGTCCCGAGGGGCCCTTCCATGTACACAGGGCAGGAGTACACAGCCAGACCCCCTGGAGCTGGCAGGTGGCTGGCGCCCTGGGCCTGCGCGCTGACGCTGACCGGAGGCAGAGGGCTGGGCTGGCCAGAGGAACTGTCCTGCAAAGCCCCAGCTAGCGGGTCCCACTCGGCGTTCAGCACCTGCAGCCCCGTCAGCAGCAGCCCTGCCTCTGGAGCCGTGGGGTTGGGGCCATTCTCCACCTGCCAAAGAAAAAGTGGGGCCAGGCTAGGAGCGATCTTGGCGCAGGAGAGGAGAACCGCGTGGGCCCCCCGGGGTCAAGATCAGGAAGAGGAGTGATGGGAAAACTGTAAGGCAAGTCAAGGACTGTGTGGGGCGCGAATCGGGGACGGAAGGGTGATGCACGTACCCTGAAATGCAGTGGGGTGCTGGTTAGTTCCTGGCGTTTTTGCACGCAGTGCGTGGAGCTGGAACCTTGGCTCGCGGGGCCAGGCGAGCCGGACGGATACTGGTCCAAGGCAGCCTCCCAACGCAGGGCCAGGAGCAGGCGCCGCGGGTGGCCAAAGGCTGACAGGTGGAAGGTGCGCTCTGGTACATCGGCGTCCGCGCTGCCGCTCAGGTAGTGGGTCAGCAGGTGCCCACGGCGGGACAACTGTCGCAGCCAGTGCCAGGGCGGCTGGGGGCCTGCTGGCGCGTGGCGTCGCCACGGTGGCGGTAGGCGGCCAGCCCAGAGAGCTTGGGCCACCGCGGCACAGCGCCGAGAGGCGCACGGGGGCGCGCCTTTCAGCTGCTCCAGCTGGCAGGCCAGGTCGCACTGCAGAGTGCTCACCAGCTCCTGCAGCTCCAGCACCTCCGACTCCAGGAAGCCCTCCAGAGGGCTCTGCGCCGTGGGCCCCAACACCGACCTCCAGGCTCCCAACTTGTTCTGGCGAGCGCCCTCGCTCAGGAGATCCCGCAACGCCTCCAGCCTACGTGAGACTTGCACGAGGCGGTGCCGCAGCCGCCGCTCCGCACGCTGGGCGACCCTGGGAACCCCGGGAACCCAAGTCCCACAACTGCGCTGCAGCTCGCTCAGGAGAGCACGACTTCGGCGTCGCATCAGCCAGGCCTGGGGGCCTGCACTTAGTCCACAGCTCCGGGGTTCGGGTGGTGTGGGCAGGAGATGCATCTGGGCCTTGCACTCTGCGATAGCATCCTGCTCCCCCAGCTCTGGAGGGTGGAGGTGAGGTGTGAGAGACAGATGGACACCCCTAACCTCAGACAAAGTGAGGAGGCCTTCTGGCTGGACCCCACCCCCAACCCCCACAATGTGGGGATATTGCCACTTTGTAAACACGTTTATTGGCACTGATGTCCACCACCGGTGGGGTGGCAGGATGCTGCCCTCTCCCTATCCCACCACAACACAGTTTACAGATTGTCACTTACCTGGGCTGGGCATGAGAGTGGCCAGCAGATGCTGGGGTGTTTGTGGGTAGGTCCAGTTCCCACTGACAGAACTCAGGCAGGCTCCAGTGAGGCTAATCAGAGTCTCCCTGTCCTTGATGTCCCCGACAGGGCCTCCATAGAACACGGAGACTGAGGATGACATCAGAGCCCCTCAATTCCAGCCCACACCCTCCACTTTTCTCCACCCTAAAGCAAACTGGCGAGTGTTGCCCCAGTCTCTCAGTACCCCAGCCCCACCTCTTTCCAGGCCATCGTGGGGGCTGATGTCTGACTGTAAGGGGGGTGACCAGAGTCTCACCGGCCAACTCCTGCATGGCTACCCTGGGATTGCTGAGAGAGGCCCACAGCTGGCCCTGGGTCTGAAGGACGTGGGTCAGAGTGTCTTGACTCCTGGGAAGGGAGCAGGAAGTAGGGATTCCAATACCATCCAAATGCCAAGGCTCTCAAGTCTGTCCCCAAGCTCCCCAGCCTTGAGCGCTCACCTCAGGTACAGCTTGCTTTCAAACAGAAAGGACTTCTCCCCACAAAGTCTTTTCACCCACTGACTGAGTGTCACCCATCAGTCACCCAAGGCCCCAGACAGGAATCTGGAAGCCATCCTTGACTCCTCCCTCTTCTGTACTGACCCCCCACCCCACCCTGTGTTCACTCTCCATCCTACTGTGACTTGCTGTGAATGGACTTGTCAGCTGTCTTGCATTGAAGCTGACTCGGGGTGACCCCTGTGTACAGAGCAGAGCTGCTCTGTAGGGTTCTCAAGGTCGTGACCTTTCTGAAGCAGACTGCTAGGCCTGTCTTCCAGGACTCCTCTGGTGGGTTCCAATAGCCTGCTAGCCTCTCTTGACCATTTGTGCCACCCAGGGTGCCCATATCACCAATACAATGCTCTCTTCCCTTGACGACTGCCGCAGCCTCCTAAACCTTGCTGCTTGCGCCGCCCCGGCTAGTGTCCATTGGCACCAGTGCCAGCCTGGTCTTTGTCACAGATGAATGAAATCCCATTTCTTCACTTAAAACCTTTCCGTGGCTTCCTGTGGTTCTCAGAATAAAATAAGGCCTCTTGCCATGGCTGAAAAGGCCCTTCTTTCTGGTCAACCCTACCTCTCCCTCCTCGTCCTCCAGCACGCCCACTCAGCCACGCGCAAGCCTTCTCCTGCCTCCTAAGCTTAGTTCTAGCTTTCCAGAGAGGCCTCATCCCAACCTGCTTTCCAGACTCAGTTCAAAGTGAGATTCCCAAAGTCCTAGGAGACCCCAGAAGGAAATTTATCTAAGCATCTCAACATGTGGAAGATTTTTTTTTTTTTTTTGCTGAAGAACATTGACTGAGGAGGCTGACTCACTGGGCTACTCACCAGCGCCCTCTGTGTGCCTGCAGCTTCAGCCCATAGAGCTGCCGGTGGAGCAAGAGGCCATGCAGAAAAAACAGAGGCAGTGTCTGGGTCAGGGGTGGCATGCAGGATCCTTGCTGGGCTAGCTCTATGCTGTCCTTCAAGACACAGCCTAACTCCAGGGACTGGTTCCAGAAAACAGGCAAGGAGTGCTGAGTCAGCACAACTGGGGGTGGGGGAGAAATGGAAAGAAAGGAGAGGGCTGAGTCAGCAAAGCAAGTTGCCTTCTTCATTGAGAGCCTGTTGGGGGAGGGGGGTGGCAGGGCAGGGTTCTCCTCACCTGGCAAGGAAGCAATGGCCTCCGCAGGCAAAATAAGCCAAAGACGGAACTCCCTGTGGACGATGGGCATGCTGGTGCTTTCCACAAGTTCCAAACCCAAGTCGGAGACCACTAGGGGATATGGAGCTGAAATCAGGCTTGGAGCAAGGGCTCAGACACAGGTCTGAGGATCAGGCTTGTGGCTGACGGGGTCAGGACTCCCTGAGAAAGCCATCCGGACTACGCTTGGCACTAGAAAAACCAGCCACGGGGCCTGAGAGTTCAAGCTCAGGAAAGTGGAAGGGTAGTCTCTCAGAAGCCATAACCAGGCAGCAGACTCACCCTGAACTGCATCAAACAGATCCAGCAAGGGCTGTAGTAGCTCTTGCGGCCAGTGGGACATCAGATGACAGTTATCCAGCACCAGCCAGTACCCCTTGTGCATAGCTTGGCATAGAGTGTTGACCACAAATGGGATTGGGTCCCAGGCTTCACAGCCCAGGGCTATCACCTGCAGATGTTTCTGTCCCTGTGGACCAACAGACAAATAGCAGAGTAACTAAAATGAAGTGGAGTCCCCAGAGTAATGCCACCACAATGGTCCTCAAAGACCGAGTCATCAAAGATTCATGAGAACTCGGAGGGGTAGGGAGAACCCCCACCCACCCAAGCCCAACTCAGAGGAGTGCCAAGTCGCTCGATGGCCCAGAGGCCATACCCAAACCTGCTTGTATGTGGCAGCCAGCTTCTGGATGACAGTCAGAGGATGCAGGGTGGCGGTGGGATGGCCAGGCGGTGGCAACAAGACCAACATGGGTTGAGTAGCCCGACTGGCCGCCAAGGGCATGGTGGGAGCACCAAGTGTTTCATCCAGAGGTCTGCCCAGGACGCTGGTGGTGAAGTCCGCCAGGGCCCCTGCCAGGCAGTCAGGTCGCAGCACACGCCATAGGATCAGCTTCTGGAGGAGGCTGAGGGGATCAGGCCCAGGCCCAGGGGCAGGACCCAGCACTGTGGATGACAGTGACAGGTAAGCCTGCCAAATTTCGGACTGGCCCGCCAGGGATACCCGCAGGCCAGCAAATGGGGCCAGCATCTCTAACATCCCACATTCGTGCCAGGCCTTCAGCCCTAGCCAGGTTGGTCGGGCCACCCCTGGGAGGTGGTGGCTGTGCCCTGTGCTGGGAGAGGTTGCTAGTCCAGGCCAGAGCGCCAGTCTTTCCAGTTCTGGTGTCTTTCTTGTTGCTTGCAGCAAAGCCAAAGCCCCCAAGGCACCCACCAAGGGTACGCGGGTCACCCCCAGAACAGCCACAGTGCTGCCCAGCATCTGACGGATCACCTGGATTCTCATCTGCAGCAGATGGCTGGCCATGTCCTCCCCTGGCTGAGCCTCACACTTCTTTATGTGGCTCAGAATCTGTGTGGTGGTTGCCATGAAGCAATCTGGGCTCAGATGGGAAAGCGGCATCAGGTTCTGCAGCGGGCGTAGGGCCTGTACCAAAGCCATGCCATGATGGACCACGTGCTGATAGGGCGCCCACAACACCATCTCCTGCATCCTCAGCTCTTCCAGTTCCTCCTTCTTGGCACGTAGATGACAGAGCTCTGCCTGGATCCTCACCATGTTCCGCAGGAACTTGTCTGGTCTCGGAATTTGCGTGTTCTGGCACAGCAGCATCACCAGCAGCTTTTCCTGCATGACCACTCATTGCATCAATCTGGTCCTTTCCCACAAAGTCCCCATATGGCTACACTCAGTCCCACCCCCACCCCTGAACCCCTCCAGTACTCATCCCAGCCCAGAGACTTGGGTGCCCCCTCCCCAAGCACCTCAGCAACCTCCACGGCTTTGCAAGTATCCAGGAAGCTGGTTTTCAGTTCCTGCCAGTGGGTCTTGAGCTCAGGGCTTTCTAGGCACACAATTTCAGACAGCATATTTTCTTCTAGGAGGTCCACGTCCTGGCTCAGGTCCAACACACTCAGCCCCTTCAGCAAGTCACCACTTAGTACTAGGGGTGATAGGGGAGGTGCTTAACCACTTACCTTTGGTGGTGGTAGTCAGAGGGAGGGGGGAGGCGGGGGAACAGGGAGATTGCCCAGGGAATCTGAGCCTACACTAGACCAAGGTGAGTGAAGTCCTTTTCGGGTTGGTCCCGTGGGCCTACGGTGACCACAGAGTGGTGTGCTGGCAGCCTGCCTGCTGGGCCTCACCTTTGTCCAAAGCTCCGAGAGGGAGCATAGTGCTCAGATAGAGGCAGAAGCCAGGCTGCACCTGGGGTGGGCTCAGCTGTTCCCGCTGCAATAACCACTGCAGTTCCGCGCACCTTAGGCCAAATTCCATCTTGGTCAGCAGTACAGGCATGCCTGTGAGGGAGAGAGACCACACACCACGCCAACACTCAGGCCCCCATCTCCATCCCCCAAGTCTGCCTGTGGCCCGCTCACTGTGATGGGCTAATGAGAGGATCCCTGGGATGAAGGACGGCCGGGAGCTGAGGTAACATTAGTGTGTGTGACAGGCCTCATACAGAATTGGGGGGCGGGGGCAAAGAGGGATAATATGTAGGGGGGCGCAGTTCTCACCATTGGCAGCTGCCTCCTGGAGCTGTACACCAAGCTCTGGGTCAGCACCGGAGAGCACTTGAAGTGGGCGAAGAGGTGGAGACTGAGTCTCAGTGGTTGACTTTGACCTCTTCTTCTCTGTCTCGTCTTTCTCCTTCTCCTCCTGTTCTGGGTCCTCTTTCTTCTCCTTGCCCTCCCTCTCATCCTCCTTGACTTCTTCTTCGTCTTCCTGTGCCTTTGCCTCCTGCTCTTCTGTCTTGTCCTTGTCCTCATTGTTCTCACTGTTGTCGTCTTGCATGCCTGTCTCGCCTTTGCACACACTCCCTTGAGTGCTCATGAGGTCTTCCTCTGTGACAGAAAGATGCAAAGAGCCGGTGCTCAGAGAACACATCCGGCCCCTGTTCACCAAGAACTCAGTCTCATGAGGGAAGAATCACAGGAAAACACCTTAGGGTTGTTGCTTCAATTATGACTCAATTAGCTCATCTGTAAGCTTGGTGAGGTTGATATGGAGTAGGTAGTTTCTGTGAAGGGTTCTGAAATACGGTTTCTGTGAAGACTTAAGAATACACATGAAGCACTGTACAGGTATACAGGAGGCAAATAATAATTGTCAGCCATCGTTACTATTACTCTAAAGTGGGGTTCTACTCTTCTCTGCAATCAGCTTCATTTCATGTCCTTTGGGGCTTCAGTTCTCCTTTGGAGCTCAGGGCCCTGTTCCAGGCTGACTGCCTGATGGCCGAACTCATTTCCTACTCACACTTACCCGGGAGCGCCCTCTGTCTCCAAAGGTGCTTTGAATCTTCCTGGCTCCTTGAATATCTCTTGACCATCCATCCCCCACCCCTTCCTTGTGTTTAAGGGCTCATGTGATTTTACTAAATTTCACTAAGATTCTCCAGGAGAACAGTTTTGTATTCAGGCCAATGGATTAGGAATCTTAACGTCATACATCTGCAAAGTTTCTTTGGCCACATATTTAACATATTCATGCACCCAAGCACAAAGGTTCTGGGGTTCAAAATTCTACCTGCCCCATGTGGCTCTTCACACTTGTGGACTTTTTTTCCCCCATGACAAAAAGAGCACGATGTCTGTAGGTGCATATTAATTTCCCCAGCGGCTGGAGCCTGTTACCATACACTTGGTGGCTGTAAGCCACAGAAAGTCCTTCTCTCGGAGACGGAGAGTGTGAAGTCAAAGAGTCAGCAGGGCCTCACTTCTTCCATCAGAAAGAAGCCTTCCTTGTCTCTTGCAGCATCTGCTACGCACTCCTTAGTTTGCGACGAAATAGCCGCAGTATCTGCTCCCATCTGCACGTTGCCTTCTCCCCGTGTATCTCTGTCTTCACTCGTGTCTCTTATAAGGACACCTGTTATTGGATTCAGGGCCCACCTAGGTGATCCAGGATGATCTCTTTAGGAAATGAAAGTGTATCATTGGGAAATATGCGTTGTAAATTCTACAACACACCTGGTTATAATCCCATTTGGGAATTAGGTTTTCTTTGTTATGCCAATGCGGCACTATTTGAATAATTGGTATTTTATGTCCAACTCTTTTGAGATATAAATGGAGGAAGATAAATGGCACACTGCATGAAGCATGCTAAAAGACCATGGGACAAACGCCTTTCCCTAGAGCTAAAAGAGACGAAGCCTTCCCCTCGAAGGCGGGCCCTGAATGCAGATGCCCAGTAAACTGTCAGAACATAATTTGCTTCTTCAAGTTACCCAGCTGTGATATTTCTGCTACAGTCACACTAGATAACCAAGATAATCTGATTTCAAGGTCTTTAACGATAATAGCAAAGACTCTTTTGCCAAGTTAGGTCACAGTCACAGGTTCTGGGGAGCATGCCTTTAAAAAAATAGTTTCATTGGCATATAATTCACATATCATACAAGTTGATAGTTCAGTCCTGTTAAGAAGAGTTGCACAATCATCATGACATTGGTTTCTTTCTTATACTCCTTTTTGTTAGTCTCCCATTTCCCCCAACCTCCCCTGCTATGCCCCTAGCCTAACTATATCTGCCATTATCCACTTTATAATGCTGTTGGATAGCAAGGCTATTCACATCCAACTATGGTCAAATGGGATTCACTGGATGCTTAATCCATGTGGAAACCCTGCAAATGGATTTTTGAGCTTCCACTGTCAGAAATAGCCTTTTTGTGTAAACAGAGTGTTCAGAATTTTAGCTCTCATACCATTCCCTCCTTGGGATTTTATTATTCACAATCTTTGCATCACACAGGCTGGTGTTCTTCTTCCATGTGGTCTTAGTTGAAGCCTGGAACTTAGATGACTAGTTGTTTGAAGACAAGCCTTTAAGGCTCCAGAAGCTATTCATTCTGACAGCCATGCAGAATCTGATTTCTTCACCACACTTTGCTATAGCACCCATATCTTTGGTCATCTCTTCATGAGGGCGAGTAGAGAGTAGAGCCTAAATATATTTTCTTTGAGGACGTCATTCATCTTCTATAATGTGATAAGCCAGCATGATTAGGATTGTAAAGCAGAAAGATATAAAGTAGTTGGGTGCTTGAAGGAAACATTGAAGTCCTACATTAACCCTGAATTGCTATCTCTGTACTTTTTTTATAATGTGAGATAGATGTTGTTGCTGCTGTTCTTGTTACTGGCAGCGTAGCGTGCACCTGAGTTATACGTTATGAGGGAAAATTAGGATTTTTTATTTTCTCTGCTGAGAAGCTCGCTAGGTTATGTGGTATGCAAGCAATTGGCTCATGAGACTCAGACCACATACCCACTGAGCATTAGTGGATTTAGTAGAAGATGTTAGAGCATATATACTGCCGCAGCCTTAGATAAGAAGCAATCTCTAGAAAAAGCTGTGTGAAGGGAGCTCCTCTGCTCAGATCCAGCAATTCTAGACCACTGATGATCAGGTATTCATGCGCTTCACTGATACGTACAAAACCAAAATCTCTACCTCATGGTGCCTGGCATAGAAATTATATCATATGGGAGGAGCTTGGGAATCAGGAAAGTCTAACCCTCCAGACGGGCTCCTCCAAAACACTCCTCCACATGCAGTAACAAAGAGAGCAGTCCTTCTTCCCCAAGTGATTTGGGTCCAGCCAAGCAATAAGGGCTCCGTTCCATGGCAGAGTCACCTCGCCAGACTATTGCCTTGTCACAGCTGTGAGGTGAAGGCAGAAGTTTCGCAGATATGGCAAACAAAGGCTTGGAAGAATAGGAGGAATCCCCAGAATCATTCCTAAGACACAGAAGCCATGCTGGTATGGTTTAAATTCAAAGACGGGCGTGTACAAGATTTCTGGCATTGGTTAGCACTCAATATGGTCCTCACAAATGAAATCGGCTAAGGAAAAGAAAAAAAAAACTAAAGAAAATGATGAGAGATGTAAGGGTATTAAAAGTGTTTCATTTCAAAAGGACATCAGTATTTACTTAATTTTCTGGCAAAACTCAAGCCCCCATACTCATTCTAACAGAAATGAATGATTAAGGGAGAAAAACTGCCAACAGGAGATGCCTTCTCCATTGTCCTGTCACAGGCCGCCCTGGGGACTGTGAAAATAGGCAGTAAAACTCGGAGCTGCTGGCCAGCTTCCCGAAAGTCCTGAGTAGATCAGAGAAGATGGAAGAGTGGCCAGCCATGTAAAGTTAGGAGCAGTGTAATACACAGACAGTATAAATGTCACCTGATTTATTTATACAGTAGAAAATGGTGGCATCTAGGCTATCCTGGCGACAAATATCTAGTGTCTTTAGTTGATTGTGAAAGGGAAAACCACACATGGCCATTTCAGATGTCCCACGACCACTGTGCTTACCTCTGTCCTTGGTGAGGTCCGAAATCAAAGAAGTCATCCCTCCACGGGACAGTGGGTCCAACCAGATGAGGGCCTGGTTGTTGGGGTCAAGCAGCAGAGGCCAGCGGCTGCTATGGTAGTGGGTCAGACTCCGCAGGAGCAGTCCAGCCAGGCGGGCAGACTTTGCCTGGGGCTTCTGCTTCCTGTCCCACTGGCGCTGCTCAGAGTCAGAGCTCAGCAAGGACAGAAGGCTGAAGGGAGAGTGTGTGGGCAGCAGGGGGTTCTTTGGTGTGGTGACATATTTCTGCTTTGGCTTCAGAGCCTGGGCCACATCATCTGGGCCCAGAGACTCCTGAAAGCCACCGCACAGAGCCAGCCACTTATGCAGCAGCTCCTGGCGCCGCACTGGTGGGAAAGGACCCAGATAGACGATGGCAGCTGCACACATGAGGGCATCTCCGAAGACAGTCATGCCGCGGCCTACCAGCTTCTAGAGTGGGAGGGACGAGCAGATGGTACTCAGGCAAAGTGAGGAGGATGCTTTCCGAGGGCTTGGCAGGGGAGGAGCAGAGAAACAGACGGGGGCACAGAATAAAGCGTGGCATGGGTGTGGGAGTGGGGTGGGGTGGAGTGAACGAGACAGTGATACAGCGAGAGTCCAGAGAGGAGCAGATAAATGGGGGAGGGTTGCAGAGATAAACAGGGTGGGGTGGGGGCATCTGGAAGGGCGGTTGTTACCTTCAGCTGTGTTGTCCAGGCGGCCATGGGTGTGAGTAGGGTAGTCTTTATGGGCCACTTATAATATTTGCCATACTGTGCTTGAATGAGGGACTCCAGCACCTGATTGTGGGCCATTTGGTCTTCTGCCATCTTCTTACTCATGTCCAAGCTGCGCTTCAGGGTCTCGTGGGCCTGGAACTGCTGCCGGCCCAGGCGAGTCTGCTCCCGAGCTAGTGCAGCTTCCACTTGTCGCAGCAGCAGACCCGTGGGCATTCCCCGGCGCTGGGCCCACCCATAGCGCAGAACAGCCCAAAGCCAGACTGTCAGGCGTGCTGCAGGTACACTTACTGCTCTCAGCGCTGCATCGCTCATGCCGGGAGCCTGCAGAGCGATGCTTAACTTCATAAGCTCCGCATCTGTCATCATCTCCTTGGGGAAGAACATCAGCTCCTGGGAGGATGTGTGTTGAGGGGGATGAAAAAGATGTGGATGCTCTGAACTTTGACCCAACAGCCTAGGCCTACCAAGTCTTCCCTAATGTCTTCTCGTTTCTCACTCCTCCACTGTGCCCCACCTTCCTTACCTGATAAAAATCCTCAGTGCATAACAGCTGCTTCGCACTGGCCCAGCCTGGTTCACGGTGGAACAGGTCACACAGCGCATCGGTCACCTGGACCACAGCTTCTGGTGGTGCGCGATAGCTACGTAGCTCTTCAAAGTCAGTCACCTGCAGCTGGCTCAGCGGGCCCAAAAATGCCTTGCCCATCTAAATGAGAAGGCATGCACTCGGAAACGAGCTTCCCCACAGGGTGTTTGCAGGGATTCCCTCTGAAGGACCGCTCTTTAAGCCATTCCTAGCTCTTCTCCCCAGTGCACTCTAGAATGGACCACCCCATCCTCTCCTCCCAGCATCCTTTCCTCAAGAGAGGGACTAAGCAGGGGATGCAGCAGCAAATAGCCCACCTGTTCCAGGAACACTTCCTGCTGAGCCTGCAGGGCATCCCGCTGCTTGGTCAGGTTTTCAATGAGCTTTTCTTGCTGCTGGCATTCTGCCAGTTGCTGTCTGTACAGGAGCCTGTCTTGTTCTATGTGACTTTGAAGAGCACTGATGCTCTGTGAACAGAGATGTAGGTCTTGCAGCTTCACATCCTGGGCCAAGTGGGAACCCCCCAGGGGGATGACTCCATGGGCTTGGACCCCCAACACACTTTTCACCTGACAGCCAGGGTGACAAAGTTGGACTCTAAGCTGGTTACAATTATGGTCTGAGCCCTGGGATTATCTGTTAACCTAATCTGTAAACCATACATCTAGAAATAAACAAATTGATTGTCTTCCCCACCCCACCCCACCACCCCGTCCCCTCCAGCAAATGTTTTGTCATCAAACAGGAGCAGGCAGGCTGAATCCAAAGCCTATTGGTATGCCACCTTCCTCATCTGAACTTGACCCATCGGAGGCATCTGTCACAGATCTTCCCCCCTCCCCCTCCCTCTCTCTTTAAGCATTCTCTTCCCTTAGCTTTCATGTGATATCCTCTTACAACTTGTCTGGTGGATATGTCTCTTCCTCTTCCATTCCTTAAAGATTCCTCAGCAGTCTTATCACTCTAGATGTCTGCACGCCCCCTCCCTAATCCCATGGCTTTGATGATCACTTGTATCCAAACAGCTCCCAAATCACTATTTCTGGTTAGATTCCTCTCCGAGCTCCCTCCCTATGTATCCGCTACTTAAAAGAAATCTTCTCTTGGATGGCTTATAGGTCCCTCAGGCTCTACATGAGGCCCAATGAACATATTAGCTATGCCTCCTCAGTGAACCTGTCGTCCTCACCTCAGACCACTGTGACAGGAAATGAAGCCAACAGAAAACACTGAATTTCCCAGGGGAAGAGCCTAGTGGTTACTCTAAACCCACCTCCTCTATTCCCCAACCCCCAATCTGTATAAAGGCCTTTCCATTCTACGTCCGAGATGTTTTCTGAATCGGCCACATCCTTGCCAACCACCATGCACCCTGACCTTCTGCAAGGGCTTCCTAACTGGCCTTACCTTTGACTCTCCCTCTAACCCATCCTCTCTCTCTTTGTTCAGTCTGAAATTTCGACTGGGGTAAACTACCTACAGCAGCCAGACAGTGCCATTCTAGCCATTCTCAAGTGTGCCACTATGTGGCGTCCATCACACAGTGTTGTCAACCCTCACTTCTATTTGCTTCCAAAATCTTTCATCACCCCAACAGAAACTCTGTGTCCATTAAGCAATAACTCCCTATTCCCACATCCACCTAGCCTCCAGTAGCTACCAATACACCATTAAAAAACAAAACAAAAGCAGTTTTATTGGCACTTCATCCACTCTAATTCATTCTCCATGGTGCAACCTACTTGGTTTTCTAAAAATGAAATCTCATAATTGTCCCTAACACTTACCACCCCTTCATTTGTTTTGCAAGGCCTTTACAATCAGGTCCCGGACTCATCTTTCCAACTTCATCTCTTTCCTCTGCCCCTGCACCCTACTCTGTCAGCAGCCATCTTGACTCTTACTGCCTCCAACATGGCACATGTTCCCCTACCTCTGGGACCTTGTATCTGCTGTTTCTTTGGACCAGGACACCTTCTTCTTATTAAGCTTCCGTGTCTGGTTAAATCTTACCTAAGCCGGTGATGTAATGAGATCCATCTTGGGCTGCTACCCACAGTTAGCAATGCAGTTAATGCTCTGAGGGAGACATATGAGACTCTCTACTCTTGTAAAGAGTTACGGTCTTGCAAACCCACTGGGGCAGTTGTACTTTGTCATATTGGTTGTTGTGAATCAGAGTTGACTCAATGGAAGTGAGTCAACCTTTAGATTAGCTTGCTTAGAGACCGTTTCCAAAATAAATTTCAGGCACTGGGCATGAAAGCAAAAGGCCAGGAACAAGACAAGAAAGAAAGAAAAGACCAAAATGGACGTCAGAAGACTCTGAAATTTGCTCCTGAACATACAAGTAACTAAAGTGAATGGAAGAAATGATAAAGTAAAAGAGTGGAATAGAAAATGTTATAGGCTGTGACTCAAGAAGACAACGTGTTAGAGTGCAATGTTCAAACCCTTGAAGTTGGACAAGCTTGGCATTTGGGAACATGCTTGGCATTTCTCAAAATATTCAAGCCTGGATTTTCAATGTCAAAGGATTCTGTGAGAAAAATATTAAACAATGCAGGAAGCATCGAAAGAAGGTGGAAGTAATACACAGAGCCATTATTTGGTCAAAGTTCATCCATTTCAGGAGGTAGGTAGCATGTGTTCAAGGACCAATAGTATTGAGGGAAGAAGTGCAGGTTGCCTTGAAGGCCTTAGCAAAAGACAAGGCTGTAGGAGTCAACAGAACACTGAGACATCTTCACACACAGATGCAACACTGAAAGTGCTTACTTGTCTTTGGCAAGAAATTTGGGAGACAGCGACTTGACCAACAAACTGGTAGCGATCCATATTTGTGCCCACTCCATAGATGGTGATCCAACAGAATGCAGACAGTACCAAACAATATCACTAATACCAAACACAAGTAAAATCTTGCTGAAGGCGATAACTTCAGCTGGCTTCAGAGGAGGGTGTGGAATGAAGGACCTCACTGCTGATGCCAGATGGCTCTTGCCTGAAAACAGGGAATACCAGAAAGAGATTTACCACTGCTTCGACTACACAAACGCACTTGCCTCTGTGACTCATAACAAATGATGGATAACATTACAAAGAAGGGGAATTCCAGAACACTTCATTATGCTTATTTGGAATCTGGACATAGACCAACAGGCAGTTGTTGGAACAGAACAAGGGAATACTGAATGGTTTAAAATCAGGAAACATGTGCGACAGGGTTGTGTCCTCTCACCAATGCTTATTCAATCTGTATGCTGTGTGTATTATCAATACATTGGAATATATGAAGAAGAACAAGGTGTCAGGATTGAAGAAGGACTCCTTAACTACCTGTCATACACGGGTTATGTTAAGTTTAACACAGGGGACACGTTGCTTGATGAAAGTGAAGAATACCTGAAGTATTTGCTGTTGAATTACAGTATGGATTACAGCTCAATATAAAGTAAGAAAAATCCCACAACTGAACCAATAAGTAACATAATGATGAGTGGAGAGAATATTTGTGTCCCCCATCCCCCACCTCAAGGATTTCATTTTACTTGGCTCTGCAGACAGTACTCATGGAAGCAGCTGTAAAGTAATCAAATTACATTGGCACTGGACAAATTGGCTGCAAAAGACCTCTTTGTTATTCTTATTAAGCTTTTTCTTGTGAGTTGGTTGAAGGTTTCCGGGGCACATCATCGGTTTCACATTCAGCAGTTCAGTTTGCTGTATCCGATTCACTGCAGTCCCTTCAGGGCACCCTCACTGAGCCCGCTGCCTCAGTTTCCCCTTTCCATTCTTCCTTCTTTCTAACCTTGCTGAACTTTGTCCTTGGGTAAATGGCGCCATTTGGTTATCAAATGGTGGATTATTCTAAGGTGTATATACCTGATTAATACTGTTGCTCCCCTTTACTGACTTGCCTATTGTTTGTCAAAAATTGGGCCCCAGGGATAAGTTCAATTCCAGACCTGAAGGTGACTAAGGGCCTTCGTCCTGGGGATTCCACCTATCTCTATCTCTATCTGACCAATAAGCCCAGTCTCTCATATTATTTTGAGTTTTGTGCCACATTTTTCTCCCCCAAAGACCTCCTTACAATGTTAAAATGGAAAGAAGTCACTTTGAAGACTAAGGTGTCCCTGACGCAAGCTATGGTATTTTCAATCACATCATATGCATACCAAAGTTGGGAAATGAATAAGAACGACTGAAAACGAATGAATGACTTTGAATTATGGCGTTATGGTGTTAGTGAAGAATACCGAAGACGAACAAAGCTGTGTTGCAAGAAGTGTACCCAGAATGCTCGTTAGCAGCGAGGATGGAGAGACTTTATCTCACATGCAAGATTTGAGCTAGGGAAATCAATTGCGTGGGCATCAAGTTTGTAGAGCACTAAGGCAGAAATTGTGTGCTGCACAGCACTCCGGAGCAGGGGTTAGGGAGATGAGAGGGGAAGGGGAGCGTTGGGGGCTGGGAAATGCCCTGGTAAGGAGGCAATTCCGGATATGGATGCCGAGTGTGCCGTTTACATCTACTTCATGTTAATTGTCCCCTGCCACCATCACCCATCCACATCTCCTCTCTCGATACAACAGCCTTATGTTTCTGGTGGTTTCGTGGAAGGAATGGCTCCAGTGGCAAAGCAGTATGGGAAAAGAGCATCTCTACAGGAAGTGAGCAAGCTAACAGTGACAGAGAATGGCGGCAAGAAAAGAACAAGCAGAAGCGGTAACCACGAAAATGTTTCTTCCTAAACAGGGTTCCAGAGGGAACTTGGGGAGCACACTGAAGAGGCACTAGGGACACACAGAAGCAGACACTGGGTTTCGTGTGTTCAGGTAAGAGTCAGTCTGTCTCCGCTGTTCCAGGGAAACTGCGGTTGAGCTCTGAAGGAAGAGGCAGCAGGGATTTCAGAGACCCCTGGGGATGATGTGGGGGAGGTGGGGGAGTAGAGAGACAAGAGACAAGAACTTGGGTTTCGTCTAGATGGTGCCCTTTGAGCGCCTGTGTGACCCCATTCTTCATATATGACTCACAGTCTTCTTGCCCTAACCTTGCGGGAAGTTTTCAGCTGCTGTTCCAAGTGGAAGGCCAGGTTGGAACGGGCACTGTGGTGTTCAATCAGCAATTTCAGGTTCTCCACGGCCTTCTGGATCCTGGAGATACAATGTGTCAGTGAGTGGAACCAAGGGAACAGACGAAGGAGCGCTGCACGGAATGAGGCCACTCACCGCTGGACCTCATTTCTCATCTGCAAGGCCATCTGGTGCTGCAGCTGCAGGAAGGTGTTCAGGAAGTCTAGGTAGGTCTTAGGGGTGGCAAGTGACAGTGCAGGGCCCAGGTGTTCAAGGTAGCTGGCAGCCGAAAGGTGAATGAGAGCCGTGACTTGGGACACATTGGTAATGGAGGCCTGGAGATCCGGGCAGTTCGAAGAACCTGCAGAAAGCAGAACCTCACCCTGGCTTGGCTGTTTGTAAGGGAGTGGGGAAAAGAAGGGGAAGCTCTCCTAGCTCAGGAAGGAGCGCAAGAAAGAGACGAGCCAAGCTAATACTTCCCATCAGGACCTGATCGAGACAAGTGGCAGGAACAGGTCAAGGGGACTCACCGTCACCAAGGGGTACACTCTGAACACCCTCCAGGTGGTGTTGGGCCACACTGAGCAAGTCAGCTTGCTCCCAAGGTTCATAGTGATCGATGCTGGCAACTGCCAATTGGAGGAGCCTCAGGAATAGGGTGAAAGGCAGCTGGTTGTGGGCCGGGTCAACTCTGATCAGGAAGAACAGGTGCAGTTGGTTGCATACTTGCTGGTAGAACCTGTGGGCCAGAAGCTCAGATGCTCTTTCCCTTTCCCTCTGTTTGCCCATCCAGGCCCCAGTCAAAACCCAGCCCCTTAGCTCCTCATCTTTTGTACCCCGACCATAGCCCCTAGATAGCCTCAGGACCTTTGGGCCAGGCTGGAGCGAGAGCCAAACAGTCCCTGGCATGGCAATCCTTGGCCTCACCTCTGTAACACCATTTCCTTCTTGATATTCTGTTTGACACCAAGGTTTTCTTTGGGGAACTGTTCCTCAAGGGCGTCTAGCTCTGCCTCTGTGTACTGGTCAGGGAAACTGCCCGAGGTGGCCAGGGCCAGCAGGCGCTGAAAGGTGGTGACATCCACTCCCTCCGGCACCAACAGGACTACTTGCTTGTTTAACACGCCAGCATGCCAGCTAGCATCCCTTAAACACTGGAGAACGGCCTCTTCTGATCCAGTTGGCAGATGGAAGAGGTGGGCCTGACAAATATTAGCAGCCAAAGTGATGGCCATATGGCGCCCAGTACTTGGAGCCCTGGAGAGTAACAGGCCATGCTGCCGGGGCCTGGCCAAAGCCCGGACAAGGCGGGCCACGTGCTGGGTCATGGTCCGACACACGGCAAGCTGGGGCTTCATTTTCAGCTGAGCAGCTGAGGAGGCTAGCTGCTTTTCCAGACTTGCCCACTGTCGCTCCAGGTATAAGTTAGGGTTCTCCAACGTGGAACCCAATGTCAGTTCCTGACTAAAGATCAGGTCAGAGGGCTTTTCCTGGGGATGGAGTAGCAGCACTGGTAGCAACAAGGGTGTAACCATGTCCATCCGGGTTATCTTCTGCCATAAACTCCTGGATCTCTTGGTCGGGAGTTTTAAGCTAGAGAGCACAGGGACGTCCTCCTTGCTTGCCCTCTGATGTGTGCTCTCCAGGTTGTCAGCATTGGTCGGTGTCCCGGAGGGTTTCACACTGGGACTACTGCAGTGTGAGCCCGTGGGGACGTGGAGGGCATAATGGTCCCCTTCCTCCTCACTCTCACTGCTGCTGTTGCTCGAGTCCCCCCACTGGGCCAACTCCCTGTCGGATTCCACTTCAGGCACCTTTTCCTCCTCTTTTTCATTCACACAGCCCTTGACCGGGTTCTGGTCCTCTGCCCTCCAGCAGAAGGCACTCTGAGCCACTTCTAAGAGGAGCTTAGCACAATGGGAACGTTCTTTAGGGCTGTCCAGTCGGTCACAAAAGGTCCTCTGTGCCTCATGCAGCCAGAAGCGCATCAGGTTGCGTGTGGCCATCATGGTGGTCAGACGGGTGCCTCGGAAGCCTGACACCCGGTGCAAGCGCGCCTGGTGATTATGACAGTCCAGGAAACCTCGGGAGCCCATCCTGGTTGGCAGCAGCTGGAGGCTATTGAGGAGGTGGTTTACCAAGTGCAGGGAGAAGTGGTAGTGTGGGTGGAGGGGCGAAGGCATGAAGCAGCTACACACAGCCTCCCAAGCATCCATTGAGATCTGAATCAGGACTCCTGCCAGAAGCCCCTCTAGGTCCACAGAGGGGAAGCGTTCGAGCCAGGCCTGAATGCTTGGGGCATGCCTGCTGAGCAGGGTTGCCTTAGTCATGTTACTCAGGGCCAGCACTGTGAAGAGTCGGAAGAGGCGTGGGCACAGTGGGCGCTCACTGTAGCCTGGCACTGTGGCCGTAGCAAAGAAGTTGACTGTTGGCTGCTGCATCGTCTGCAGTTCCAAGGTCCTATGAGCATACACAGTGCCATGGAGGGCCTGGCGCAGCACCTCCAACACTGGTTGGCAGCTCTTCTCTGGGTCTGTAGGACATGGAAAATAACCGTGAGCATGGGAGGAGAGTGTCCCCGGGGCCCTCTACGTCCTCTCCCCAGCTCCCTAGGTCTACTTCCAGCACACGCAGGGTTCTGAAGGGATCGTGTACATTTGACGTGTTGAGCCTTGCTCCTATGCGAGTACATGGTTCTTTGCCTAAAATCGAGTATACACTCTTCTCTGGACTCGCCGCACCTCCTACTTCCATGACCAAATGTATTCACTAACTGAAGGGTGAAGACTAGGAAGGTTTGGAAACTGAGAGAGATGCGAGCCACACCAGATCACAATAGGGGGTCAAAAAAATGAATTGCCACTCGAAGAGAGTGAGACACGTTTTTTTAAAATCCACTTAATCAAGATGTGGTTTACATAAGACATACACATTTTGAGTTCTGACAAATGTAAGCACCTGTGTAGCTACTACTCCTGACAATATGTAAACATGCTGACGATTCCAGCAAGTTTCTGCATGCCCCCGTGCAGCTGATGCCCCTGCCACCATCACTGCAGGCAAACCCAGTCTCCATTACCACAGCCCACTGCCTGGTCTGTCCTAGAACTTCATGCTGTCTGTCTGCCTTCTTTCACTTAGCGTGGTGGTGGTGGTGGTTGTTTTTTGAGATTCAGCCATGCTGTTGTCGAAGTAGCTCGTTCTATTGCTGGGTAGTGTTCCATTAGGGGAGTGGTAGATGCAGCGACATATTAATGGACATGTATGCTGTTTCCAGGTTTTTGCTCTGCTGAATAATGCTACTGTGAGCATTCATGTAGAAGTTTATTTGAGGACATGTGTGTCTGCATTTCACTTGGTGGACCCTATGGAACAAGTGTATATTTAATAAGAGACTGCCACGCTTCTTCCTTGATACGTCCACTAGCGATGTGTGAGTTTCCATTGCACCACATCTTTGAAAATACCTGTTATTGTCAGTCTTTTAAATGACAATATTTCTAGTAGGTGTAATATACAGTCTCAAGGTGGTAATAACTTTTAATTCCCGGTCTCTGTTTTTCCATCCAAAGATAATCATATCAAATCTCCATCTTACTAGGCCTTTTGAAGAAAGAGTACATATAGCATGTAGCACAGTAAGTACTTAGTTAATTGTACTTGCTATTAGTAAGCATGTTTACAACCTAGCTCAACTTTTCTATTTCCTCTAAGAGACTTCACTATCTTACTGGACAATGCCTCAGTCCACTGACTTCCTTGATTCCCACTGCGTGCATAGCCATAGTCTGAACTTGTCATCGTGGAGAGGTGTACCACTTATAAATTTTAACCTTCAGGCTATCAACAGTCTCTCCCTCGCTGCTCCCCTTGCCTTTCTCTTCTTCTACAAACTCTTATGGAGCACTTACAAGAAATGAGACATATTCCTGGTCTCAGGGGTCCCTGGGGGGCTTAAGTGGTGAAGCACATGGCTCATGGCATAAAGGTTGGCAGTTTGAACCCGCCCAGGGGTGCCTTTACAGACAGTCCTTGAAATCTGCTTCACAGCCTTGAAAAGCTTTGGGGGCAGTTCTGTTCTGCACACTTGAGGGGGCTTGTGTCCGAATTAACTCGAGGGCAACTCACAACAAGAATCCCTGTTCTCCGAGGAAACACACAACTTTCCTCTAGTTCTTTAATGCCTCCTTCCCTGCCCTCACCCCCCCCCACCCCCCATGCCACTATCATGACCCCAAATCCACCTAGACCAGAGCATGTACACGGGTACAGATAAGAGCTGGAAACACAGGGAATCCAGGACAGAGAAACCCCCCAGGACCAATAATGATAGTGATACCAGGAGGGTGGAGGGAAGGTGGGGTAGAAAGGGGCAACCGATCACAAGGATCTACATATAACCTCCTCCCTGGGGGATGGACAACAGAAGAGTGGGTGAAGGGAGACATCAGTTAGTATAAGACATGAAAAAGCAGTATAAGTTATCCCTCTTGAGGGAGGGGAGGGAAGGAGGGAAAAAATGAGGAGCTGATACCAAAAAATGAGGAGCTGATAAGTAGAAGGAACATGTTTTGAGAATGATGATGGTAACAAAGTTGAAATGTGCCTGACACAATGGATGGGTGTACGGATTGTGATGAGAGCTGTATGAGCCCCCAATAAAATGATTAAAAAAAGAATCCCTGTTTTCATGAAGCTGAGTGTGGCAGGAGGCGCAGGCAAGTGAGCGTAGAAGTATGAAATCATGGTTTATCACAGGCTAACAGACACAGGGTAAGAAGCAATAAAAGGCCTTGTCACAAAATGCGTCATGAGAACGTTTGGCCAAGTTCCCAGGGAACGGTCCTGTGGGTGAGGGAAGATGGAAAGATGAGATGCAGAAAGGTCTGAGGGACATTTAGGAGGGAGAATCGAGAGACACGGTGAGCAGACACTGATGAGGGTGGGAGATGCCAACAAGATTCTGGCGAAGTTGAGAGGACACAGGGGGCAGGGTTTTTTGGGGGGAGATGATGAGTTCATAGTTGAGTCTGTGATGTCTACTATATTGATGGACAAACACATCTTCTGTTTAGAAGAGGAATTCTGGTTGGAGGTAAAGCCTTAGCAGTGGGAGCACAGCGAGGGTAAAGGAAGTTCTAAGTGTGGGTGTGTGATTGCTTAGGGAACTCATGTAGAATGAGAAGACACCACACACTGGGCACTAAAGGGAGATCCAGAGTCATCTATTGGAAGGATTTTCCAATCTCAGGAAATGGCAGAACTTTCCTCCTTCCCTCTTCCCAGCGCCTCACCAGAAGCTGCCAGGTGTAGGTCCTCCAGCAGGAAGAGGAGGGAGCCTTTAGGATCCTGGAAATGCCCGGTCCATGTGCAGGTTTGTGCTTGGCCCTGTGCTCCTCGACTCAGCAGGAGGCGCAGGTGGGTGGAAGTGAAGATCGGGTTGATGAGGATGCACGTGTAGGGGTGATTGGGCTCCACCAGGACCTCCACAAAGGCTGACTTGCCCGATGCTGCCTCTCCAGCCATGAGCACTGGCTGTCCTCTTGGCAGAAGCAAGTCCACTAAATACAAGAGCCGTTCCATCTGCAGAACAGGAGCAGGGCTTACTGAGGCAGCCACAGCTGAAGATGCTCATCTAGCTGAAAGTCAAGCTCTAAGGCAGGGGTCCTCAAACTTTTTAAACAGGGGGCCAGTTCACTGTCCCTCAGACCCATTGGAGGGCCAAACTATAGTTTAAAAAAACCCAACTATGAACAAATTCCTATGCACCTCTGCACACATCTTGAAGTAAAAAACAAAACGGGGCAAAAACACACAGCGGGCCGGATAAATGTCCACAGCAGGCCGTATGTGGCCCACGGGCTGTAGTTTGAGGACCCCTGCTCTAGGGGACTTGCTTTAAAGCTGGTTTGCAGAAGGCTTTCCCTATGATTGTGGAAGCTATTCAAAGCCTGGGAGGAGTGGGCCTCAGCTGGGCCAAGAACATGGACTCCTCTGAAAATAGCTCCTTCAACCCCAACCCTAGTGAGTGCTCCGCCATGCCCACACCTGAGGAGAAAGGTTGAAGGTGGCTGGAGTTCCTTTGATGCGGCTGCTCAGGTACTGACCATTGAAGGGAACCAAGGTCCCATCCTCAGGACACACATAGAGATCAAACAGTGAGGCTGCCTGTGGTAGCTCGGGGTAGTTGGGGATGCTCTTAATAGTGTCCCTCAGAAAGGTGTCGAAGAGGGGCCAGAACCTGCTCAGATGGACAAACAGGCAAGTGTCAGTTATAACAGTTCCATTTAGGATACGCCCCCATACTCCACTGTACCCCAACAGTGATGTCACCTAGGTTTTGACTCCCACATGCCAGTGTCTTTCAGCCCTCCTCATCCCCCATCCCACACCCCTGTGTGAGCACCTGGAAGGGAGGAGTCCTCCAAACCCCCAGATCAGAGCATACAGAAAGCTGTTGACTGCCAGCAGGTGCTCCCTCTGTTTACTCCGCACATCCTTGCCGTCCATCTGGAACAAGTTGCTTAGAGAGCTGTTTTTTGAGTACCGGAAACTCCCAGACATAGGTTCACTACTGCTGAGCTCCCCTTGCAAGGTCCCCATCACTAGAATAGAAGAATGTAGATGGAGAAGAGGAGAGGTCTGTTGAGTCACTTCTCCTCCTCTTCAGTCCCTGGGTCCAGGTCCACTCAAGAATCCATGTTCTAGTCTCCAGCTCACCCCAGCTATCCTCCAGGCCCCATAGCTTTGCTGCCCTCTCTCAAATCAGCCCGTCCCTCACCCTACCTGAGTCACGTGTCTTCTCCTTCTCCTCTAGGTGCAGGTAGGGGTCAAGCAGAGCACGAAAGATACGGGCCAGGCTCGTGACTTCTGCCACTCCTGGGCAGACAGCCTGCTGCCCATGGACCTGCAGCACAGAGCCAGCCCCTCGGTGGACGAGGAATTGGAACGTGGCAGGCACTAGCACTTCAGCCAAGTGGTTGAGCTGAGTGACTGACTGGTGCTGCAGGCGGTACTCCTGGGGCAGGGCCTTCATCAGGACACTAAGCATACTCTCCCAAGTATGCTCCCCACCACACCAGACCAGAGCACAGCGACCCACCACCGTGGGAGACATGTCTGTGGCATCTGCCACCTCCATCAAGAAAAAGGTGTCTGGGGGGCGGAGTATCTCCTGGCCATTGGGGAGGCTAAGCTTGGGGGGATCACTGAGAAGGTAGATGATGGGGTCCAACCAAGCAGCACTGGGTGCCCCATCACATACAACCCAGTGCTGGGTGCCCCCAGGTTCTAGCCCGAGCTTCCTCAAGTCCCTGTACTTGCACTGCGTGCCCACACGAAGCAGCCTGGGAAAGACACCGTGGTGCCAGCAGGGACCCTCGAGCCATCCCAGGAACTCCTGGGGGCTGAGGACACTGGGGTATAGGTTGATAATTTCCACCATCTGGCAACCCTGGGTTGATACATTCTCCTTGGCTGGCAGTTGGTTCTGGATCTTAAATAAGCTGTGCCAACAAGTGGTCTTGCCACTGCCCGCAGGGCCCAGGAGCAGAATGCCTGAGGTCGAGTTCAGAGCCTGGCTCAGCTGCTCCACAGACCCCAAAATGCCAGGGCTGGGATGCAGTCCTGCCTGCTGCAGCTCCTCTGTTATCAGTGGCCTCGTCAGCCTCAGCGTCGCTGGCTCTGCGAGCACTTGGCTGGCCCCCGGGAAGAGCCCACAGAGCAGCTCGCGGAGCTTGTGCAGGTGGGGCTCGTTGGGGCTGCTGAACAGCTGTGAATGCAGCAGGGCCTGCAGCAGCAACCCCTCATCCGTAGCAGCGATGCGGGGTTGCTTGGGTGCCTCCAGGGTCACGTTTAGTCTCTGGATTGTATCTTCCAGTATCTGCTTGAGCAAAGGCAGGCGGCAGGGCAGGGGCCCAGGCACCAGCTCACGCTCAAGGGAGAAGAATTTGGAGAGGCGGGTGGCCATGCGGGAGGGGTCTCGAATCCCTGCACTCTGCAGGGTCATCTCTGCTATGTGGTACAGGTCAGGCAGGGCCAACGCCACAGGCCGCAACAGCAGGCGCAAGTTGGCGGGCACCGTAGGGCTCAAGGCACGCAGTGTCAGGAGACAGCCGTAGCCAAGGCGAATGTTCACATGGTGGTTTTCAAAGAAGCCTGTGCCGAGTTGCAGAGGCTGGGTGGGGTCGATGGTGCTGGTGTTTTGCGAAGCCTCCTGGTATAGCGGGGCATACAGACGGCGTAGTTCCGCTAGGCGCTGGCCCAGGGCAGAGAGCAAACCTGGGGGCAGGTGCTCAGCAGCCTTCAACATCAGCCAGGCACCAGCCTGGAGGGCACCATTCAAGTAGTTGCTCAGGCTTGGGACCTCTATCCTAGACAAGCAGGGCAGTATCACCAGATAGCGACCTAGGGCCCGTGCCAGGTTGGTCACCACAGTTGTCTTGCCCACACCATCAGGGCCCAGTAGAGTGCCGCAAGCCACCTCCTCGAGGGCCAGTAGCAGCACCAGGGCTGGCCGCTCAGGCAGCAGGGTGGGTAGCAGCTTCAGCCTGGGGCCCAGGTACTCATAATTATACTGGAAGGAGCGGCCCAGCACTTCTATCCAGCAGGGAGCTGGTGGCTGAGAGGGTCCGGCAGACTTACTGATAGTCCTGAGTCTCTGCAGGGGACTCCTGGTCATGTGAGAGGAACCCAGGTGGTACTTGAGCTGGCGGGCCCAGTGGAAGTCTCTCAGATCACTGACGTCATGCTGCCGCAGCAGCTGTGCTATGTCCCGGTGGCTCACAGTCAAGACCAGGAGGGCACTGAGCAGGCTGGCCTGGTGGACAGAGGGCAGGGGCTGCCCACCCAGGCGGACCCTTTGGGCTCGCAGAAAGTGCACTAGTACCTCCAGCTTGCGCATTTGCACGGGGAACATGGCCAGGGTGCTCCCTTCAAGCAGCGCCTCCTCCATCTCCGCCCGCCACACCACCTGCTCTGCCACCAGCACACACTGCCAAGGGAAGGTCTGGGCTAGAGCCAGCCAGTGTAAGATATGCTGGTACAAGACTGGCTGGTTTTGAGGAGGCAGCTGTTGGGAGAACTCTGGGGGCGGGCCCTGAGTGAGGTGGGTGGCCACACAGTCCTGCAGCATGGAGACCAGGACCATGCGCAGAGATGTCCCCAAAGAGGCCAGCCACTTGGAGAGATCAGGATGCAGAGGAAGGGGTTCCTGCAACTTCACCTCCTCCCCCCCTGCTCCGAGCACGGCCAGTGCTTCCACCGGCGCGGGCATGCTTGCGCTCGGCTCCGGCTCATCCTTGTTTTCCTTCTCATCCATTGGGCTGGCCTGGAAGCGCACAGCAAGCACATGAGGAAAGCAACGATGTGCCCATTTCTGGGCTTCGCATGTCTCGAGTGGGGCAGCAAGAAGGGCCACCAGCTCACTGTCACTCAGGAAGAAGAAGCGGGGAAAGCGAGCACGCACCCTGTAGAGCACACCCTCCAGCATCACGATGATCCCCTCGAGCTCCACCGAGCCTGCGTGCAGCAGTTGTTGCAGCTGCTGCCCCTGGAAGTGAGGGCTCCGCTTAGCACTGGGCACTATAAGGGACAGGACCAGCGGGTCCTCCACGGAGATCTTCATCAGGGTCCGATACCGGTCATCCATGACCTTGAAGCGAGCGTTCTGGAAGGCAAGGCGCACAGGAAGTGGCAGCTTCCCCACTAGTCATCCGGGAGCAGTGCCCACCCTTTCTCCCCGGGCCCCCTACCATTTCAGAGGTGGGAAACTGGATCTTCATCTCATGCAGAACTTTATTCAGAAAAATCCACTTCTGCTGGAAGGTCCCCCACACCTCTAGCAGGGCACCTGGGAGCAGGCAGAGGGATTTTGGACGAGACACCAGTGTTTGGGCGTCCACAAAGGGCACAGCTTGCTCTTGCTGTGAACTCTTGGGAGTGGGGGCGTGGAGGTGGGCCACCAACCCAGCCACGTAATTCTGGCTCCACAGGAAACACCTGGTTCCCTCCTTCCAAGACTTAGTCTTGAGGGAGGCTTTTGCTTTGTCTTTCAGATACGCCCCCCCTCATTGATGCCCCCTGGGATGCTTCCACCCATCAGCCCACCTAGAAGTCTGCGCTCACCCAGGCTGTGCATGATGGTCATCCAGTCTAGAGCTGTTTTGTGCAAATCACCGGACTTTTGGGTGGCCAGGATCTTGAATAACATCTGGAGACTCTCCTGGATGGAGTCCAGCAGGCTGCTGCAGTCTGGAGAAAGAGGAGGCTCCGGCTGAGTGGAGCTGGTGGTCAGATGGGGTGAGGACAAAGGTGGGGAGTGGGGAGGAAGAAGGGGAGTGAGCAGTCAAAGTGACCTGGGATCCCTTCCAGGGGAGGCAATGGCAGAGGCCAGAGGCCCTTTCTACCTTTGGGAATCACGAAGCTTCTGGCAAGGCAGCCCTGCTTTGGAGTAGAGCAGTGACAACTGAAACAACACACACACACACACACACACACACACACACACACACACACACACACGATGCATTACAATCAGGCTTCTAGCCTGATTAGTCCCCCATTTAGATATTATGAGTGTTGGGCTTTATCCTTAGGTAAACCTACTTATTTGAAGTTATTTGAAGAACTTGAACCTCTAGTTTAAGAAGGGATTCTAGTCCCCTACATTACTTGTTCTATAGGAAGAAAGCCCATTCTGAGATGAAAGTAGCACTGGGAGAAAGGCTGAGGGCCAAATCCTCTTCCATAGTTTTGGCATAAGGGCATGAGCAGTTGGAACTTCCAAGGACAAGGCCTTGGCCTTATGCTATTCAAAGATTTATCCCATCAGGGGAGACTGAGGCTAAAACTGAGTCCTAACTAGAGTGAAATGTCTTGGAAGAGAAGCAAGAAAAGAGATTAATTCAGACAGAAGCAGGATTCCCCAAACAGTCCTTTAAAACAAATCAACCAACCACCCCAAAATAACCTTTAACTGCCAATGGGTTGATTCAGACTGAGCAATCCTAAGGGACAGGGTATAACTGTACTGTGGGTTGCTGAGACTGTAACTGTGTGCAGGAGTAGAAAGCCTCATCTTTCTCCCATGGAGCAGGTGGTGGATTTGAACTGCTGACCTTGGGGATACCAGTCCAACGTGTAACTCACTACACCACCAGGGCTCCTCCAGACAGCTCTCCTGGGAAGAAAATGCTTAGTGTCCTGCTCTTCAAGGGAAAGAACTTCTCTACTGCCTGGAAACAGTGTTTCTCTGGTCCCTCTCTCTATCCCCTTTACTTACTCTTTGCGAGGTGTGGTAGCAAAAGGGTATATCTCTTATTCTCAAAAGGGTGTGTGACAACCCACAATCCTCCCTGTGGCTCTCTGAGAAAGTGTACTTCCAGTTTCTTCTGCATACTCAAACCCCAAATTGTCCATTGATTTTGAAAAGGTTGTGAAGAGGTGGTGGGAGTCTCATTTAAGCCTAGATCTAGGCTGCATCCGTCAACAAAGTATATTAAAAAAACCCATGAAGTTGAATTGGAGAATGTTTTGTTGTATGTTTTTGCAACAGTTAAAAAAACAACAATAATCACACACACACACACACACACACACACACACACGAGTAAAAAACGCATGGTATCTTGGGGGTCATGATTCTGATATTCATAGATCTCAAGCTCGTCTCTCGAACACACACAGACTATTGCTCCCATTAGCTGAAATGTATACTCAGCAGTTGTCAGGGTGAGCTTGCCAACTTGTCTGTGGGTGTTATCATTTTAATTACAGAATTTAGTCTAACATTAATATGAATCCCTGAAAAAATGGATGGATGGGGAAAGAGATGCTGTTTCTATAGAAACTATGAAAGTTTTGGTCAAGGTGAATTAAAAAACGAAACCCATTGCCCTTGAGTGGATGCCAACCCATAGTGACCCTATAGGCCATGCTATGAAAGCAAGTGTGAGCAGGTCAATTTCAAACGATCGGGAAATCATCAGGACCTTTCAGTTGTCTTCATATTGCTACTTGATTTGATAGAAACCGAAAGTGGAAACAGGAGACAATGCGTGAACCGTTTGATTTGGGCAAGAAAGGCAGTGAGGCACTTCCAAGGACAAGGCCTTGACCTTAAGTTGAAAGCACATAAATACATATTTATATGTTTTAAAATAAAACTCTTAAGCCATGAATGCACCATAGTTTATGATTTACCTGTTTGACTTAATTTCTGGATTACTGGCTGTGTTTCATTTGGGTTGGAGAAGCGATTTCCTCATCTGTAGGCAACTCCCCAATGATATCACTTGGTACTTATGCATATGCCTTCCTGTGCCCTCTTACCATGCAAGTTAGGCAAACTCCTACTCCTTCCAGGTCAGCACGAGGGCCTCTGCCGGAGGGAAGACTCTCTGAGCTCTCCCTTATCCTCTGAAACTTTACTGCCCTGAATAAAGTGCGCCATTATGCACTTAGCTCTCTAGGACTGCCTATCTTTCACTGGACTCCTGAAGGCAGGATTGCTGTCTTGTCAACCTTAAAATCTCCTCTATTTGGCCCAGAGGAAGCAGGTGAGTTTGATGAGAGAATGAATGAGTGGGACATAAAACCAGACTTCAGGGTACAGTCTAGAGGACAGGGCCTTGAAGATGGAGAGTTGACCATGAGAGATGTCTGAGTGTGTTTAGAAAGGGAAGGGAAGAGTCTTTGCTGAAGGACTTGGGGGTGGGGAGAGCATTTGGGACGCGAGGAACGTCCCAAGATAGGAAGACACTGTCAGAACAGACGAATGTCTCAGGCTATCAAGTAAGGACAGATAGTGGTGGGTGAAGTGCATACAAATGGTCCCCAGCAGGAGGCTTTCACAGAGCAGCCAGGCCTGAGGCTCACCTGAGAGAATGAAGGTGCCACTATCCTGACATATTACATCCCACTGGGGACCGCGGAGAGCCTGCCTCTTGGAGCGCTCTGCAGCTGGGGGCTCGTAGGGTACACGCAGAATAAAGTTGAGCAGCCGCAACTGACGTGCTTCCCAGGACCGTTGCAGCGACCGTAGGCTGTCTTGAGCACGGATTCGATCATTTTCACACTGCCAGATCTGGAAGAGCTGGGTCTCAGGAACCAAGACTGGGAAATGGCTTAAGGGAGATCCTAGGAACTAGCACTTAGGGATTGGGCCTGGGCACAAGTCAAGACCCAGAGCTCAGAGGAGCATCGGTCTTGGGAATGCAGGAAACATGGAGTCATCTGGCTTCAGAGATGACGTCAATGGCATCTTAACTACTTGGAAGCAAGGCTGTCCCCAGAGTTGGGAAGCCCACCTTCTGCCAAAGCTCCAGCCGAACACACAGTCATCAGTCATGTGTGCTCTTTTCCAACAGGGTAAGGAAACGTGTTTGGGGTAGGAGTGGGGGCGTTGTCTTCCTGTGTGACCACAAGTTCTGAACTGCCCTCCTCCAGAAACTACATATCAAACCCTCCTCTGGAGCCTTAAGAAGAATACCCACACCCTGCACCTAGGCCATTAACTTCACATACACCTCCCCGCCACTCCCCTCCCCACATCTTCTACATGCCAACATTCACTGCTTCCTTGTCTCAAGGGGCTGCTAGGCCTTTAACTGGCTCAATTAGAGCTTAGCAAACAAGTCCTGGAATAGGATCCCTCCAGGTCCTCCTGTGAGCCCACCTGGTTGATTCGATCGGAAAACTCCAGCAGTGGACAGTTGATCAGCTGGCCCAATGTTAGGAGGTCCAGATTAATGAAACTTCCCAGCCCTAAAGCTGGAGGCAGGGAGGACAGCATCAGAACCCCATCCCCTAGCTGGCAGGAGCCCACCCATATCTCAGATACCAGACCTAACCCCAAGCCCAGAATCCAGATCTGGGACCCAGAGCCCAGACCAACCCAGCCTCACTGAGACTGAGTGCAGATCTCAGAGTGCAAAACTAGAGCCCAGAACCCAGAGTCCTATGCACACTTTGGAGCCCAGAGCTAAGACCCCAGCCCAAAGCCCAGGTCAGGTCAGATGAGGTCAGAAGAGATGGTCCTATAGCACAGTGGAGGTGGTTAGAAATGGATGGATCCCCAGGGAAGAAAAGAGGTTCGGTATCTGATGAAAGGAGCAGCCTAGGGACAAGAGGCATTTTTGTCAGGAGCAGCAGAGAAGTCAGTTCTGACAAAGGTCTAGCTGTTACATCATTCCCCATGCCCCTCCCCTGACTCTAAGGAAACCCACCTCGCAGGAGGGATTGGCTGGGAGGGTTCTGCAGTTGCAGGCTGCTCAGCTTGATGAGCAGTGGGAGGTAGCTGCGGAACTCCTCCAGCATGTGCAGGCAGCAATGTAGCACTGGGTTCTGCAGCTCCCAGCTTGTGATCATCTGGGTCACCTCTGTTAACCAGGTGTGTGTCTTCTCCATGGCCATCGCAAAGTTGAACTAGAGGTAGAAGGCTTCTCACTTCTTGTTGGGAGACCCTCCCCACCTCCACCCATGCAGACCTTCTCCCCCAAGGCAGGAGCTCCAAGGAAGGGTGTCAGCACCTTGATAAAAGCCATGCACTTCCACTCGCTGATGTGCTCTGAGATGATGCGGTACAAGTGCCAGATACGCTGCTGCTGCACGATCGGACGGGTCCCACAGGCCGGCAGGGGCAGAGGCGTCTCATCCCCTGTGGGACAGGCTAGCTGAGGCCTGGGACTAGGTGCTGGGGCGTGATGGGGGTGGTCAGTGAAGAGCCCAGAATGGCAGAAGGGAGGGTTCAGCAGGAGGGGTCAGAGGGCCCAACATGTTCCATATGCAAATGGAGTAAAGGAAAACTAAAGTAGGAAAACGGAAGGTCACTTCTACTCCAAAGCACTGCCATTCCGTTGGTTTCAACTCTCAGGGACCCTAAAGGATGGAGAAGACCTGCCCCCATGCGTTTTCGAGACAGGAGTTCTTTACGGAAGGAGAGAGCCTCGTCTTTGCAGGCCATCCCAAGGAAGTGGGTAAGACCAGGAGAACAGCATGAAAGGGAAGCAGTCCTCTTCTCTCAGTCTCCAGCTCAGGCCACTCCAGCTACATCGGTCTTTTTCTTGTGGCTCACATACACCGGGCATCGTGCTCTCTCCTACTAAGGGCCCTTGACTGGCAGTTCATTCTTTCTGGAACACTGTAAACTATAAAGCTAAATCCCTCACCAAAGTCAAGTCTTTGCTCCAAACAGCCCCTTAATGAGGCCACCCAGGCCCCCTCGCTCAAAAGTGCTATCTATCTCCTTTGCCTTGGACCCTTCTTACTGCACTCAGTTTTCCCCCAGGTGACTTACTGTTTTCTAACAGCCTACATACTTTTGTTATATTGTAGGCTTATCACTTGCCTTTCTTTACCAAGCTATTGGATGATCTGTGAGTATAAGCATTTTTGACATTAGTTCATTGACAGACTACATGGACCAGGAAGCTTGCCAGAAACACGGTAGACCAGAGATCCGTGTTGAAGGGAAGAGCGCTCAGCCCAGGGAGAGCTCAGTGAAATGCGAAGGAATAAAGGCCCAGCCCACATAGAAGAACATAAGCAGTCCCCTGTTGGGTTGACCTCGGGCGAGAATTCCCTGTCTCCTGGTTTATGATCGGCCGTGAGATCGGTGTCAAAAGTAAGTTATTATGAATAATCATTATAATGCTGAGGCTTGTAATGTCCTCAAAAGAAATGGGACTGGGTTGAAGGTTGTCATTATAAGACTGCCATCCTAACTTGTTTGAACTCTTCGATGGGCGGAGAACATGCTCGGGAACAGCATCCATCCCGGCAGCCTTAGCCTGTTAATAGACAGAGGGTCAACAGACTACAACAGCTCTGACCCAACACTTTAAAAGGACAGCAAATGTAAGCTCCTCTAGTCTCCCTTTGTCTCAATTCAAAAGACCCGGCTCGGTAGCCATATACTCTTTGATGGGAATGATCTCAACATCAACTATAGGACAAACAACTCCCTCTGTAAGATCGCTGCAGACACATGAAAAGATAAGTGCAAACTGGGGGATTAAGAGCAAGTATCTTTTGGTGGAACAGTACTGACTAGGGCAAAAAACAACAGACTCTTTGCTTTCCCTGGTAGACTGTGAGTCCCTTACTCTAGTACACCAGCTGACATAGCTGAGGTCTGAAGGGTTGTATCCTGAAATTTTCCCTCAAGAAGGAGACTAAAGAAATGAGTGATTCCCGAGGCTTGCACGGGGACCCAAGATCCTGAGTTCCAATCCTCAGTGGGAGGAAGGCTCTGTCTCAGGCAGCCAGGGGAGAAAGCGGGGGTGCTCAGTACCAGTGAAGGTGGCATAGGCATGGCGCAGTTCACTGAGGTGGCTGACTGTGCTCTGAAACTGACGCTCCAGTGAGATGAGCTGGCATTCGATACTCCTCTGCTCTTGCGTGGGGTCCATGAAGGGGCTGGACACGGCCTTCTCAAGCAGGACGTCCAGCTCCACCAGTGCCGCTGCCATCAGCTGCTGCAGCTTGGGCACAATGGCATGTCGCTTGCTGAGTAGGAACTCTGCGGCCTGGCTTTTCTCAAATTGAAATGCCTCCCACGTGTCCAGCAGCTTCAGGGCAAGCAGAGGACAGTCAGGCGGATGTCGTTCTGGGGAGGGGAACTAGATGGGGAAGGGGCAGGGGTGGGGGTGGGGAGATAGGTGACTCCCTGAATTGCCCTCTCACCGAGACATCCAGAGCCTCGTTTTCAGCACTGAAGAGGTTAAATTGGTTCCGGATGACTTCGTGGAGTAACCGTGTGTATTCCACTCGATCCTCCAGTTCGGTGTTCTTCTCGTTGGCCTCATTCAGCTGCAAGGACTATCAGATGAGATCAGCAGCCCCACACCCCCGCATCCCACTTTGGTCTGGTGGGGGATGGGGAGGGGTTTGGTCATTCTCTTGAGACTCTAGACCCCAGCAGGAGCCTTGTAACCAGCTGGGATCAGAGGCCATCTGGCCAGGCCTCTGGATAGGTAGCAAGGTTCTTTGCCCCCCAGAGCATCCCCCTGATGACAGGGCACTGTGTCTCTATGTGACTGCATGCCAGGGAGAGCAGGACTATGGCTCTGGCAGCAGGACAGGCTCTTAGTCGTCACAGCAGGGCCTTCCCCTGACATGAGGAAACCGAGGGCCATGTGAACAGGGGGAGAGTTTGCAAGGGTCCAACACGTAGCGAACTCCTGTTAGGAGTATCGAGCACCAAAGGAAGACCTGAGGAGAGTGTGTTCTGAGCGGGATGGGTGGACCTGGAATGGCGAAGCAAAGGGCATGGGGCAAGCCCACCTTCTGGGAGCACCGCGCAATGGCATGGATGTCCGAGTTGATGGTTTGGAAGATCTTCATGAAGTCCGTGAGCTCAGCTATCAGCTGCTGAGTGCGGCTCTGACACTCATCCTGCAACTGCGCAAGAATGTCATTCCTGATCTTGTCCAGCTTGGAATCTGGAGACAGGAGGGGGGCCGAGCATTAGCTGGTATGTCTCAAGAAGAAATACAGAGAAATAATGTTGGGAGCAAGAGGAGAAGCAGAGCTCAAAAGGAAGCCAGACTATGAATTCATTCTGACACTCATTGAATGCTCACCGGATTCCAGTTCAGCATCCAGTGACCTGGTATGTATGTGTACTGTACTGAAAGGCAAGAGCGAGGGGGTGAGGCTGAAAGCCTCCCTGCCCTCAGAAGCTCATCATAGGATGGCAGGGATGAGCAAACAAACAGATTACCAGAAACCAGTGTGATAAACACTCTCCGAAGGCCCAGGGCACCTCAATCTGGTGCCAGGAGGAGAGGCTTCAGGAGGCTGTCCTCACAGATGGGGACATTGAAGGTGAATGTCTTGAGCGGTCAGTGCTCACCGGGATAAAGGCATGCCAAGTAGATAAGATATGACTTTGCATGGGCAAAGTCATAAAAATGACAAATTCACGAATAGCAGAATGAAGAAGATTTCTGTTTGGGGAATCTCACTTACCAATGTTCTTGTAGAAGAGATGCCCCAGGGACAGTATGATCTGTCTTTGGATTTTAGGCATTACAGAAGCTGCCAGGGAGGTGTGGGGCTAAAAGGTAATCTTGGAAGCTGCCCTTGGCAACATGTGTAATCGTATTGCCTTGTTGGTATTGTTAGGTGCACAGGGACCCTATGCACAACAGAACGAAACACTACCTGGTCTCGTGCCAGCCTCCCCATTGTGGCTGTGCTTACCTGCGCCTCAGAGGTCAGGAATCACAACAATATGAAATTTGTCAAATCTAAGATGTCGCTAATTATGAGAAGCACGTTGTTTTTATATGCCATTGAAAATAAGAAAAAATGATGCTACCTAAATTCTGGCATGCCATTGATCATGACCTCATTGGTCCAGAGGTGGTTTCAGCAAGCACAGAACAGTAAAATACAGGATATATAGAAACACAGTATAGAAACACAGGATACAGTATGCCAAGAAACATATTAGTGCATACTTACTACCTGACAGGCACTTTATCAAGTGCTTTGCCTGCATTCACTCATTTAATCCTCACACAGCTATGAAGAGAAGGATATTATCATTATCCCATTTTGTAAAAAAGAGCTGTGGTTCAGCAAGATTAAGTAACTTGATCAACACCACACAGCTACTATGCAGCAAAGGGCAGATTCAAGCTTAGGTAGCCTGGTGCCACTCTGTCGTGTTTTCTGTTTGGAGGTGTAAGACGTAAGCCAACCTACTCCGTCTTGTGCATCGCTGCAAATTAGAAGGTGGGAGAGTGAGTTCTGGCTGCAGAGGAGGGAGGCCTTCTGGAGACGACTGAGACACTGTGTCCAAGGTGATGAGCACTAAGGATTGAGATGGAGAGGGAAAGTGGGGAGAGAAGGGGAGGAAGGGGAACCAATCGCAATGATCGACACATAACCACACACACACCCCTCCAGGAAGACGAAGATGAGAAACCATGGGTGAAGGGAGACAGCAGGTCGGTGTAAGATATGCAAATAATAATAATCATTTATCAAGGGGTCAAAAGGGTCGAGGGTTGGGGAGGGGGGAAAAGAGGAGATGAGCCCAAGAGCTCAATAGAAAGTAAATGTCTAGAAAAGAATGATGGCAACATATGTATAAATATGCTTAATACAATTGATGTATGGATTGTTATAAGAGCCCCCAGTAAAATGACCTTTCAATCAAATTTTAAAAAAGAATTGAGACAGAATGCCCAGCGTGTGGGATACTAGCCTCAGTTGAACAAAGCACTAAGGGTATGAATTCATCTTTTTTCAAAATGTCCCTCTGCTCCATGACCAGGCCACTGCCAGGCTATGGCTTTTGGAACCATGGCATCTGGCAGATAAAGGCAGACAGGGGCTCAACAGTGACACCCCATGGTATCAACGAGCAGCGGCAATCGCTTCACAAACTACCAGGACACCTTGGAGCTGGAATTTGGAAATGGATAGCGAAACCGACTTGAGCGGTATTTGGGAGGCAGAAAAATGGAGAGGGCTTAGTAATCAGTTGAACGTTATGGGGTTGGGGAGAGGGAGGAGGCAAGGGTGACCAGGCTCCTGGTGAGACCAGCTGTTGAGAGTAGAGAATTGTGCCATTCATTCACTGCTGAAGGGAGCCAGGAAAAGGAGGCGCAGAGCTGGAGACTAGGAAGATAACATCTCATCAGTGGGAAGGATGAGATAAGACAAAGGGAGGTGAGTTCAAGTGAAAAAATCATTAAGCACTGACTGTGCGCCAGACTCAATACTAGTATCACAAATAATATCTCCTCACTATAACCCTATGAGCTAAGTATTGTACGCTCACGTTGAAAAAAAATTTTTAACAAGAGATGTTCAGTGATCTATAGTCATGAAGCAAGTGACAAACAGCCAGTATGTGAACCCCTATGCTTTTCTCTCTCCATCTGCTCTTTGTAAAGAGGCCAGCTGATTCTAGACTCCGGAGCAAGAAGCTAACAAACTAGAAAGAGAACACAGACTTCCAGAGCAGCAGTTGGGCAAAGCCTGCCCAAAACAGGGCCTGAAGAAAGCATACCATTCAAGGTCCTCCTTGATCCTACCTTGCCAGCCTGGACAAAGGGGAGAGTGGGGTGGGGGAGCGCAGAGAGTTTTCATGATCCCTAAGATACAGAAGTCTTTGTGGCACATAAGATGAGGCATGAGCTGATGTCTGTTGAGCAAAGGCAGGGGAAGCCAGGCACTTTCCAGAAAATGGCTTCAGGTACAAGCTCCCAGAACTCCCATCTTCAGCAGGTTCTGGGAGAGTCTCGGTAGAATGGGGACATCCAAGTCTGTTCTACTGCAGACTCTCCCCAAGTTGGGCTCCTAGCCTAAAGCAAATAGCCTGTCCACAAGAGGAGACATCTTTCTCATGGCAAGTGCCAAAGAGACAAGACTAGATCTTGAATCTGATTTCTCTGAAAGCCTTAGATACCAACAACTGGGCCTTGGCCTAGTGGGGTCAGCAGTGACATGAGACCACTGGTAGTGTACTCTTCTGCTTACATGGGACAAGAGACCACTGGTAGTGTGCTCTCCTGCTAGCAGTCACAAAAGTGTAGGAATCATGACGTGAGATGGCTGTGACAGAAAACTGGCCAAAGAGAATGCTTCCAAATACCCCACAGTTCCAAAATGGCAGAGGCTACCGAAGCAAACCAAGAGTTGGCAGCTTGTGTTGAGGAGTAAAGGACTTGAGACTGTGGGTCAGCCTCAGGCAATGTGGAGGCTTCACTAGACTCCAAGGATCTACAATGCCAGCAGGGACCAAGGTGGGGTCAGCAAGGAAGACCAGGGCCAAAATGTGAGGCCTGACTACGCCAAGAACCCAAGTCAGTTACAGCAACCTGGAATCTATCAACAGCAGATGCAGTAATGTCAGGAGGTCAAGGGCCAGGCAAAGATGCATAAAATCTTGGTGAGGGTCCCGAGAAGTAACAAAGACAAGCACACAGCCCAGGGACCCTCCTCCAACAGCAGGTGCCACCTTAGAGAGGAAAAGGAGGAGAGAACACTTAAGAACAAAACCAACCATAACCAGGCTGTGAATTTTGAATTGATGGATGTTCAGGACAGACTAAATCAGACCCAAAATGATGATTTTAAATGAAAAGCTCTCTCTTTAACTGGGAAAGTTAGGTTTTTCTTTCACTATCAACTTTCACAGAAGTTAGGACTACAGAGGAAACCAAGATCCCTTAGAGGGAATTCCAATTTTTTGTACTCCACATTGTAAGGCTGAACTCTGCCACAGGTGGGGAATGCAGCACCCCAGATTCCCAAGAATCTCTGTGCAGAAACCAATCCCAACAGCCTCCGGATAGGATAAGACTGTTTCCATCACATTTGGTTTAAACCGCTTCCATGTCATAGGACTAGAGCATTTCATGCGGCAGGAACACGATTCCTGAAGAGCCAAGGCAAACAGAGCTGTCCTCTGTAGTGAACACACAGATCTGTTTTATTATACAGGAAAGGGGCTGTGTCTTGGAGCTCTGGGAGGCTCTGTGGCTCCATTGAGGGTCCTGAGCCAAAGGTCCCTGAAGTACACTTCAGGCCTAGGGAGGATCTTGTGAACAGAGATAACCAAGGGAGTAGGTAAGAGAGGAGGACTGGTAGTACTCACCCATCTCTGCCTGCATCTCATGGCAGCTCAGCAGCAACAACCTGCCTTTTGTAATCAACTCGACAGGCATGGTGGAGATACGGGCCTGCCAAGTGTTCAGGCGGCTCACTAGGGCTCTGTAGTTCTGGATGGGACAGCCTTTCATGGCTTCCAGCTTCTGAGGCCCCCAGGTTTGCAGGAATTCATAAATGCCAGCTATCCAGTGATAATTTCTGCAAAATTCCTGTACTTCGCACAGCACACCCTATGGGCACACAAGACGTTTAGGGCAGATGTAGGTGGCTATGATGGGAATTGAGGGGCCTCACCCTGCTCTTCAAAACCTCTATTCTCACCTCCATCAGGGCCTGTTGTATAGTCATTGCCTGCTGGATTTGGGGGTTACTGTCAAGGTCCTCCTGCAGCTGCTTGTAATTAAAGGGCAAGAATTGGCCCCGCAGGTGGTACCCACGGACCTGCAGGCCTACAGTATTTGTACGAGACTTCCAAGGCCACACCAGTCCAATATCCTGGCCACAGAAGATTCTCGCAGCATAGCTGCGCTGGCCCTGGGACCTGGGCATCAGGAAGGCCATGTTTGAGTCATCCTCTTCATATTCTGCTGGTGGAAGGCATGGCATAATTATCAGTGAGTACCCTCCAGAGCCCCCACACAACCTCCTTCACACCAAGTATATAAGTACACCACACACACACACACACACACACACACACACACACACCTTTATCATTGAATTTACCCATACATCTACATCACACCTATAGAACACCAGACCCATGGAGGAAATGTATGTTACGAGTTCATACGCAAAGAACAGAATACAGTCTAGCTAATAAAAGCAAGGAAAGGAACCACTGTAGATTATTAAATGGGTCAGAATAATTGGGAGAGCTGAGAAACAAAAACAACTAAGACTCTCTACCTGGTGAATTGGGAGGTCATCGACACATTGCCAGTTAGAAAAACACACCAGCAAAATGCATGCATGTGCTCTGCCTCTCTCTACCATTTAACTAAATTCTGGACTGAAGTCTCATTCATGTAAATCTAATTGCTGTTGTCGGGTGCTGCCAAATTGGTTCTGACTCATAGTAATCGTATATCAGTCTAATCAGTGGATCCTAGATCATGATACATAGCCACAAGGGGCTCTGGGAAATGTAGTCTGTAGCATTTCGCCATCGGCAGAAGAGAAATGCACACTGAAAAGAAATTGGAAATGATACTGAGCTTGCCCGTTCTCAGTACCTGCCTTAAGGAAAATCCTTGAACTTGGTCTCCACCTTAACTTTTTAGGAACTAGTTATATGCCAATTTTGATATTTGTGTTTAAAACTTGGTCTGAAAGGAGAAAACCCACCAAAAAAATGTTCAGAAACTAGATCCACACTACCAATACCAAACCACACTATCAATATTGAACCACACTACCAAGGCTCAGGTCTCTTCTTTCTAGGCTCTCTCGCCCGGTGCAATGCCTTTAAGTGCTATCGGTTTTCGCTAAGATTTAGGCCTCTCCCTGAATCCCAATCCCATCGAAACAATCCCCGACTCCACATCTTCACATGGTTCACGTGGATGTGTAACATGTAACTCCAACTTCACAGGTCTCAAACCAAGCTCCTCCTTTCTCTCCACCAATGGTGCTCTTCCTACAGTCTGCCAATGGCAGTAAATGGGAAGACAATCCTTCCAGTTGCCCAAGTGAAAAACTACATACAATACCTCCACCCATCACCAAATCCCGTTAGCACTACATTCAACATACGCTCCGAGCCCAAGCAATTCTCCCACCTCGGGGGCTGCCCTCACCCAGCTCAGGCTCCCGTTATCTCGCACACCACATTCTTTCAATCTCCTCCTAACGTGTCACTTTGCTTTGGCCCTTGCCTCCAACATCTAACCCTCTTGGCTCCACATCAGAAGAAGAATCTTTAGAAATAAGGACAGGAGGGTTTCTGGGGAGATGGTAGTAGTGTTGAAATCTCCCAGGTTCTCGTGGAACAAATACATAGTAAAATAAAATAAAATGAATACATAGCATGTTCACCAAAATGATAACAAAAGATCCTCATAAACCCTAAAACACAAGTGGGTGGGGACTAACCACCTCCAGTCTCAAGGTTCACATGGGAGGAAAGAAGCTGAAGGGAACATTGAGTCACTGGACAGACCTAAGAATAGGACACTCCCAGACAGCCAGCAGGCATTCACTAGAAAGCAGAGGACCAATTGGGAAGAGCAGGTGAAACTGGAAGGGGTTTGGTTCACTCCTATCCCTGGTGTCTGTTAATGTGAGCTAATTTGAAAATAGAGTCTTTCTAAGTTCAATGAAATAAAGAAGTCCTTCTACTCCCATAAAGAGTTACATTCACTTTGGATAGAACTCTAAAGAATTCACAGGGGCTGTCGCACCCTGTCCCATAGGACCACTGAGAGTCGGATGGAGTCTATTGGATGGCAGTGGGTTTTGAGTTTGCCCCTTCTGATCTTTGTCCTTGGGCACATGCTGCCCTTTTGATAACTCTAATATGTGTGTCGTCCCTCCACCCCCCACCCCCACCCCAGTGTTATTGTTCCCTGTAGACCTAGTGTTTGGCTGACAATTGAGCCATGGGGGTGAGCTCATTTCCAGACCAAAGGAACATAGCCTCTCATGATTTTGAACTTTGTTCTACATTTTTCTCTTACCCTATTCACGAACTTTTTGAGTCCCACAATGAAAAAGGAAAGAAATCCTGGGGTGGGATGCATAACTAATCCACACACTCTTCATGTTGAAAAGCATCATTTCAAAAGTTAGATGGTGCAGAAGCTTTTAACCACCAGCAGAGGGCAAAATTACCTCTGTGTTAAAATGAGCTCCCTCCATTTAGTATGAGGATTTCTTACAACCTTTAACGGAGACTGGTGACCGTGGGGAAGGTCATTGGCTCGAATCCACCAGCTGCTCCAGGGGAGAAATAGGAGCCTATCAGCTCCTGTAAAGATTTACATCCTCAGAAACCCTCTGAGTCGGAATCAACTCGAGACGGCCGTGTGTTATCCCCTAGGGTGGTGGAGGTTATAAGCAGTGGACGGATTCGAATAATTTAACAACCACTTTGCTTCCCTAATGACCATTTTAAGTATAAAAAAGATATCCTGAAAGGGAGTTTGTTATTTCCTAGTTAATACTTAAATAAGAACAATAAAAAGGTACACAAAACTAAATTATCAGAGTTTTAAAATATTAATGAAAACATTAATACCTGACAAAAAACAATATAACTATTATTAAGATATGCTCATCCGACTTAATTGGCTTTTTCACTTGCAATATTCTTCGTTTTTTCATTTTTATCCAAGCATAATTGGCTGTGATTCTTTTCTCTGTAGAACTAGGATCCCATTCCTTTAGAGGCAGGTCAGTTAAACAATAGTCATTGTGTTTGACAAATTAGAAATAATGAAAAGAGGTGACTTCTCTTCTCTGAACATATTATATTCATCTTGGAAAAGCCCCTTTCTGTTCCTACTGAACTTATAGTTCTGACAATATTTTTAGCTCTTTAAATACTTTCAGGAATTGCATAATTCACTCAAATAGCTCTTGGGAATTTGGGGCATAACACAAAGCTGAAACAAATTAGAGTGTCACACTCTGGTTATTTGGCACTTTTTCCTCTTTATGCTATATATTTCTTTACTGAAGTAACAAAAGCAAGGAAATAAAAATGTAGCATTTCATCCAAAGGATAAGTTTTATGAAATGAATGAATAAATATTAGAAGCATAGTTCCATCAAATTTTTATTCCTATGGATGGAATGAATATGCTGTTGTGCAGATGAACATAACAAAAGAGTAAGGAGCTGCTGGAAGAAAAGGGGACTGGACTCATAGTTTATAACATGCCCTTCTTGCTATTTAACAGAGAGCTATTCATCAGCTCTATGTCAGAATTCCTGTATGGGTTTGTGTGTGTGTGTGTGTGTGTGTGTGTGTGTGTGTGTGTGTGTTTATCTATACATGATAGGCAGGACAGGCGATCATATGGAGACAGCAACTGATCCCACAGTTCCTGGGGGCATGGGAGGGGATGTGGGAAGTGGAGCCAACAAGGATGGGTACAGGGGAATAGTAAGTGTTCTAAAATTGATGGCGAGGAGGGAGTAGCTTTTCTTGCTGTGTTTGATCCATCAAGTTGTATCTGAGGAATTACTGAGAGGCAAAAGATGGGTAAACATGATAGAGGGGCAGGAGGGAAAAAAGAAAAAAGAGGAAAGAAGAAAAAAATATGTAAATATATGTGTACTTGTGTGTGTGTGTGTGTGTGTATATATACACACATATATATAGATATAGATATGCAAATGCAACAAGGGAGCAGATGGACTTTGGGCCTCTACTTAAATCTTACTTCAGTACAAGAATGGTTTGTTCCAATAAGGCAGCATTATATGATGCTAACCCCCCTGACACGATTGCTGAAGACAAAATGGATGCATAATCAGGTGAAGAAACCTGATTGCGCCCAGCTATTAAAAGATATAGCATCTAGGGTCTTTACAGTTTGTAGATAAAAAATCGACCATCTAGCAGGGAAGCAACAAAGCCCACATGGAAGAAGCACACATGGGAAGAGGTATCAGACGTTCAAAAACAAGCAGCCAAATTGATTTGAAGGGGCGTGGATGTAGTGGAGACCCAAAACCCACCTGTAAAATATTTGGACAGTCCCTCACAGAAGGGCCACATGGAAGGGATGCTAAATCAAGGATGCAGTATAGCACTGATGAAGCACATAACTATCCTCTAGTTCTTTAATAGTTCTTCCCCTTACTATTAGGGTTTTTATTTGTTTCACCTTATTGATCATGTTAGATTTATGTATGTTCATTTGTATATTTAAAATCATTAGGTACATGAAAATCAAGATAGATAACTCTTCAGAAACAGTAACAAGAGTAATGGTTCCCTGAGGGTATGGGAAGAGGGGTGTGGGAAGGAGGGTATAGGGAGCTGATAGCATTGATAATTCCACTCAATGGGATCAAACAACAGAATTGTATGTGAATGGCTATATTGGATTGTGTAAGACATGGCAAAAAAAATTATAGGAGAAAACAATAGGGTTCCTGGGGAGTAGGATCGGGCAGGGAGGGGATAAGGGGAGTTGATATCAAGGAGCCAAAAAGAAAAACAAGTTTTGAAACTGATTATGGTAGCAATTGTACAATATTGCCTGATGTGATTGAACTATGGAATGTTATGATATCTGTAAGAGCTCTCAATAAAATGATTTAATAATAAAAATAAACTAAATAAAGACGGGGGGGGGGGGGGCGTCAATGTCAATAATGAGAGTAGAGATATCAGGAGGGGAAGGGGAAGGTAGGGGAGAAAGGGGAACTGATCACAATGATCTACATAAAATCCCCTCCCTGGGGAACAGACAACAGGAAAGTGGGTGAAGAGAGCTGTCGGACAGTGTAAGATATGAAAAAATAGTAACAATTTATAAATTATCAAGAGTTTGTGAGGGAGGGAGGGAAGAAAATGAGGAGCTGATACCAAGTAGAAAGAAAATGTTTTGAGAATGATGAGGGCAACAAAGGTACAAATGTGCTTGACACAATGGATGGATGGATGGATGGGGATAGGAGTTGTATGAGCCCCCAATAAAATGATTTTTTAAATAAATAAATAAATAAAAGGAGTTCCCGTGGAGCTGTCAGTAAACACTGGACTCCCCAAATCAACCAAAGTCACTGCCATTGAGTCAGTTCTGACTCTGAGTGACCCTAAAGGACAGGCAGAACTGCCTTTTGGAGTCTCAACACTAACGCTTTACTGGAGTGAATCTGCTGAGCAGCGTATGGTTTAGCCCTGCTGGCTTTGCAGTGAGCAGCCCAAAGCATACCCATTACACCAAGTCAGTGGGTTCAAACTTACCGGCCTGCCTGCAAGCCTCCTGTGAAGATTTACAGCAGCAGCGAGTGAGTCGAAATCAACTGGATTGCAGTGAGTCTGATATGGTTTATAACCAAATGAAGGTTCCTATAGGAACTTACGTGCATCATATGTGAAATCTCAATAAACCATTGCAGAATTGTTTGAAGAGTAAATATAAAATAAATATAAAAGCAAATAAACACAATAGACAATGCCCTGAGAGAAATGGAAAGTGAAAACATGAGTAATGACAAAAGTTAAAACAGAAATGTTGTTATTGTTAAGTACAACAGATGAAACGCTGCCTGGTCTTGGGCCATCCTCACAACTGTTCTGCCTGAGCCACTTGCTGCAGCCATGGTGTCGATCCAATCTTCGTGAGAGACTTCCTCTTTTTTGCTCCACCTTACTAAGCATGAAGTTCTTTCCTGATAACAGGACCAAAGTACATGAGCATTCTTGACTGTACTACTGCAAAAAATGGCATAGAGTTTTATTAAAGGTTTCAAGAGAAAGGGACAAATTTTAGAGATGAGTAACTAGGATCCAGCATAAAGACAGCAGGTGTCCCTGAAGAAGAAGAAAAAAATCAAAACAAGAGACGAGAATAAATATGGACATATAAATCAAATCTGTAGGATATGCTGAGTCTCTCAGATTCCTTCTCTTGAGAACTTGAACCACATCAGCCACATACACAGGAAATGTTGATGAAGGGTCATATAGAGTCAAGGATAGAATCGTCACCACAGAACCAGTGAATCCTAAGTCTTATAAAACTAACCGAGAAGGAAGCAGATGTCGATGGAGAAGAGCCCACTGGGTAAGACGGAGCCGGGGAATTGGGAAGATGCACAAAGAACATCGAAATAGAAGGATCAGCAGTGATCTGAGAGACAGGAGTGCTCATGGTAATCTTTTAGTTTCCATTTCTGTGAAGCCCGGTGCTGCTACGTCTTTCCTGTCCTTGAATATTGATGAGTTTCTGTTCAATGAGTTCCAAAACGGAAGACAAGGTTAAAGAACTATGACTCAAAGTGCCAAGACCCAATAAATTGCTTAGGCAATATAACCCCCACCCCACCACCAGCAACCACAAAAACAAAAACACTTCCATCGAATCAATTTTGATGCATAATGATCCTAGACAGAGTTTCTGAGGCTGTACATCTTTCCTGAGGCAGGTAGCCTCATCTTTCTCCCCTGGAGAGGCTGGTGGGTTTGAACTACCCACCTTGTGGTTAGCACATTCCCTTGAACCATCTGAAAAGATGCAAGCAGCATGGCATTCCAGTCCTGAACACATTAGTCCACGTTGTTCTTTTTAAAGTGGAAGGGATAAACTAAGACATTGCAAGAGAAGATTTTACTTTTGTTATAATTTAGAATAAAAGTTCAATGGTTTTGGATTTGGATGACTTTTTTTGGCCATTCAAACAAAAAGACTGCTAAATAAATATCTGTGAAACAAAGGAGTACAGAATATACTAAAGTACTATAAAGTGTCAGGGTTAGCTAAGTTTTTAATAACAGGAAGACACTCTGCTGTGTGTGTGTGTGTGTGTGTCAGTGTGTGTGTGTGTGTGTGTCCGTGTGTGTGTGTGTGTGTGTGTGTGTGTGTGTGTAATGTGCTAAGCCCCATGCCACCAGATGTACCACCTCCTTTACTCTTCAAACAATTCTGCAAGTTAGATATTTGGGGGATCCCCATTTTACAGAATAGGGAATTCACACAGGTGCATAGAGTTCGTGTTTGAAGCAACATGTCTCTGAACCCAGAGTTCTTCTACTTTCCACTGTACTGTGTCAAGCAAATATCAACAGCCTCCATATGCCTAAATTCCTTTTGGGGAAAAATAGACCCCAAATGGTATGTTGTAGAATAGCCTCCTTTCAAGGATCCTACTCCTCTTTTCTCACCTAGTTCCTAAAACTAACTTTGGGTCATTAAACCAGCTTCCAGAAAACATAATAGGTGAATAGAAATTGGAAATGGCCCCTACACATCAAATGCAAGGGTGTATTTAATGCTTGTATTTGTGAAAGAGTTGTATTCTAAAACAAAGAAAATGTGAAGCTATATATTTCCCCTGATGTTTGAAGATCAATAACAAATGATAACTTACCAGGGGAAGCCAGCCCCTAGCACATCATTAAGGGTTCAGTAGGTGCAAGTGTACAGCGATAATAAGTAAAGATTATAGTACAGTTATAGAGAGCATGAGAGATAGAAGAGAAATATTGAAATAAATGGAGTCAGACACATTTCATAGTAGCATGCTCACCTCAGCCCTGCTTGGTGGTCCATGTGGAGAGAGAAAGGTAATCTTTAATGCTAACCAAGGCTTTTATATTCTCTGGGGACATGCAAGCCCCCTAATTACAGGGGAAGACATACATCATAGGAAGGGGTTGTGTTATAGGTAATACAGTAATGGGAGGGGGTGATCTAAGAATATCCACGCAATAGGAAGAGGAGGGATTGGGGGTATACATGTGGCAAGATGGGCGGATACTAGATACAGGATGGCAGCTTAACTTTGGATGTCACAGAGCCAGTTTGACCTGTTCCTGGCTCAACTGATAGAGACCATTATCAGTAGGGTGTGAACTCCACCTACAGGAGCCTGTCCATTGTCTTTGAACAGCAGGTCTACCATGTAGTCTGGTGACTAACTGCCTTCAAGGAGGATGTCTGTAAGCATCTGACCTCACCCCACAATAACTGACCATCCTAAAATAGCTCATTAATTGCTCTGTGCAAAATGAAAAAGGGCTGCATGAATCAAGCAAATGTTGGACAAGTACAGTTCTTCCAACAAGTACAAATTAGCCTAGTCCTCAACGTCCAGGTAGATGAAGTGACATGCATGGCAGTTTAGAGCAGCAGGAGGATCACGTACTCAACACGGTTTCAAGCCCCGCCCCCCCACCTTTTACTGAGGTCCCTGCACACAGACACATCAGCAAAAATCCTTCCACCGGTGTGTAGTACCACAGGCTAGAGCTGCTCCATTTACATCCAAAGCCTGAATCCCAGACTGTAGAGCCTCCTGCCCTCTTCCTGGGTCATTATCACTCTACACTCTACATTATCACTTCTCCCTCCTTCCAGCCCACTCTTGGGCTAGATTTTCTTAAATACCTTGGGGATCCAGGGAGTCCCAAGAACTCTGGAGGTGTGAAGACTGGATCACCTTCATGCCAAGATATGGAGAAGGGGCAAACATGGAAAACAGTGAGTGATTCAGATCAGGTTGAGGGCCTCTGATTGCGAAGAGGACAGACGGGAACTGGAAATTCTTACAGTCAGCCCCCTGCCCTCCCAGACTACCTGCAGGGCAGAGGCCTTCACATTCTGTAGGCCCTCGCTTAGAATCTGCATCATCTTTTCAATAGCGGGCACATGAGACAGCTGGCCACAACCATCAAAGACCAACTGTGCTTTGAGGAAGGGTTTCTGCCTTGGGTTCTGTAAAAGAAGAGTCAGGAGAAGTCGTGGGACAGGATGTTGATGTTGGTAGCCATTCACCCACTCAGCCTGTGACTGCCTGCCCAGCCCCACACATGCCACCCACCACCTCACTTGCAAGTTGTTGGCCACAAAAGAGGTTATCTCCTTCTCCATGATTGACACAAGGTTCTGGCAAATCATGTAGTCTACCAGGCGGGCAAGCTGTCCCAGCTGCAGCAGCCAGGCCTCCGCCTGCTTCAGCCTCTGCTCCAGCTCTTGGCGCTGTAGCCTCTGGAGGAATATAGAACCCTGGCTTTTCCTGGTCTTCTTGCAAATTAGAACTCGCTCCTGCAGGCCCTGCTGCATTTGGTACGTGTCTTCACGAATCTGCCAATAGAGAGTGGGAAACTCACTGGGGTGGATCGGAACAAACCCTCGGAACTTAGAATCTAGATGTGTACATCTAAGGGTTTTAGAACCCCAGGAATCTCAACATGGCCAGAGATGGGGGGACATGGCATGAAGATCATAGGCTGGGGGGCTGTGGTGTGCTGGAGTCCCCAGGTAGTACAAGTAGCTATGCACTCTTTGCTAATTTGAAGGCTGGAGCTATGAGTGTACCCAGAAGAGCCTCCAGAGAAAGGCTTGGTGATCTACTTCCAAAACACAGTCACTGAAAACCCTATGGAGTGCACATCTACTCTGACACAGTTGAGGGCCAGTGGGTTAGGGTTTCTAATGTGCCCGTGTGCAGTACCCATGGCCTGGCCTATCTGCTGAAAGTCTAGATAAACTAGTTTGCTAGTATCTCTCTCCCTCTTTTTATCAGTGCTGCACTCTCTTCATTATTTCAGCTTTATATTAAAGTTTGCCCTCTAACATAAGACAATATCATGCTGATGAACCAGCCACCTCACTCCCGCTAGATGTCCTGGAGCCCACATCCTAGAGTTATTTCTGAGTCCTACTTATCCAATCTTTCTTTCTTTTTTTTTTTATCCAATCTTTCTTTTACAAATGTATATCATTTAAATAATTATGTTATACATTGTAAACCTCTCTATTTGCATGTGCATACATTTTCTATCTAGGGTCCAAATGGAACTTTCAATAGATAGGCCTTTTAAAAGTAACACAATGAAAAGTAAGTAAGAGTGCCAAATGGCTAATCGACATATGAAAAGATGCTCAATGTCATGGGTCATCAGAGAAATGTCAATTAAAACCACGATGTGATACTACAATAAATATAAGGGAACATTCACTAGTTTGGCTAAAATTAAAGACTCAAGCAATACCAAGGGCTAATGAGCATGCAGAGCAATAGGAAGTCTCCTACAATTGCGGGGAAAATGTAAACTGCTACAACTACTCTTGAAAACTGCCTAGTACTGTAAACCACACACACACATACAAATATATACATTATTCCAGGGATAAATGGCCAAAAGAAATGAATGTGTGTGTCTACCAAAAGATAGGTAGAGCAATGCTCTTAGTGTTATTCACAATAATAAAACAAACAAACAAAAACACTAGACCCAACCCAAATGTCCATCAACTATTGTTGCTGTGAGGTGTCATCAAATTAGTTTAAATTCAAAACAACCCCATATACAACTGAATTACACTAAACACTACTGGGTCCTGTGCCATGCTCACGGGAGCTTTGTGGGAGCCCATTGCTGCAGTGACTGAGTCAGTCTGTGTAGAGCAGAAAACTCACTGCAGGATGGAGTGGAGAGAAAACTGATCCTGAGTCTGAACAAACTCTGAGAGTCTTCCTCTTTTTCCCTGCCTCTCTAACTGTACCAAGCACAATGTCCTTCTCCAGGGACTCGTCCTTCAAATAACAAGTCCAAAGTGCACGAGATCAAGTCCCGCTATGCTCACGTCTAAGGAACAGTCTAGCTATACTTCTTAAGACAGATTTGTTCTTTCTCCTGGCAGTCCCTGGTCTAGTCCACATTGTTTACCAGCACTGTAATTCAAAACATCCGCTCTTTTCTAGCTGTCATTATTCACTGTCCAGCTTCTGCATGCATGTGAGGTGATTCAAAATGCCGTGGGCTTAATTTAGGCACACCTTAGTCCTCAAAGTGATATTTTTGGCTCCCATCTGGGCCTGCTTTGCTAAGCTCCTGAGCTGCTGACTGTTGGTGACCTGCCCTGCTGTTTGCTGCCTGTGGGCAGGCTCGGCCTGCATTGCCTGAAGGGAAGACTCAGCTGTCTGCTTCCTTGACCTTGGACCAGGCAGCCCTCAGGACTTCCTGGTATATTAACTATTCCATGGAAGTGAGTTGAACTGAGCCCTCTGTACTGCTGTGTGGACAAATTAGCTGTTATATTCCTTTGTGCTGTATAAATCTATGTATCTAGCTATCTAGTCCTGGTTTTGTTTCTCTAGAGAATCTTGCCTAACATAATACCTGTGGTTATAATCCCATTTGAGAATGGGCTGTCTTTGCTACATTAATGAGGCAGGATTAGTGTAAATTGTACTTGAGTCAATCTCTTTAGAGATATAAAATAGGCTAAGTAAAGAGAGTGAAAGAGAGCAGGAGAATGAGTTCATCACGGGGTGAGATAGATGCAGAAATGTGGAGATCTCCACAGAACCAGGGAGCAACTAGAAAGACAAAGACCGCCAGTAGAACAGAGGGAGTGAGAAAGCCCTTCCCAGAGAGGATGGAATTCACACTTGGAACCTCCTAAACCAGGGGTTCTCAGCCTTCCTCACGCTGCGCCCCTTTCATACAGTTCCTCATGCTGTGGTGACCCCCCAACCATCAAATTATTTTCTTTGCTACTTCATAACTGTAATTTTGCTACTGTTATGAATCGGACAACCCCCGTGAAAAGGTCATTCAACTCCCAAAGGGGTCGCGACCCACATGTTGAGAACCGCTGTCCTAAACGGTGAGAAAATGTCTATTTGTTAAAGCCACTCTCTGAAGGTATGTCTGTTATAGCCCACTAGATAACTGAAATCATAAGGAATAATGAGTAATACAGAAAAATACAGAAAAAGGAAAACCTAGGGTAGGATAAGGAATTCTGGGAGTGAGAGATCATTTGACCACTTCAACTTTTTTTTCTTTTTAATTATAGGTATTTAAAGTACTTACAGAACATTGCAAACTTGTTCATGATATCTAATTCTAAGGTATCCAAACATCCACTGTTATATATAAGAAGACTGATAAGATTTCAGCCAAGAGGGAATTCCTCCTTGCAATGGAAATGTCTTACAGCCAAAGCTATCTTTGAGACGCCAACGGTTCTTTTCCCGGTAATGAACCAACTCTCATGACATCTAGAGCAGCATGCAGAAAAGGAAAGCCTGGTTCAAACCGGGCAAGGTGGCCCACTGTCTGTTAAGATCTCATTTTTTGCAATATCTGGTGAGTGCCCTGTTAGGTGACTGGCCTAACTGAAGATGGCGATTAGCCAGAGAATTGTGTGAGTACCCAGCCCCACCTAACAACAATCATGACAATAAACCAATAAACCAAGGGCAAAGGGGTCTCTAAAGCATGACAAGCAGGGCACATGTCCTGGGAGCCACTTGAAGGGGATGTCACTGAGCATTTTCTATTAACCTTTGCTGTTTCCAGAGCCGGCTGGGGAGATCATTCTGCAAGTTACAGCTAGTGGTGTCACTACAAGTGCACGTGGGAATGTGGATTGCACTGGCTGACACTGGCAGAGGAGCGATACCAAAGTGGTGGTCTATACATTTTTGTGCTGTGTTTCAGCGGAATTTCATAATTTAAAAAATTAAAATGCCCTTGAAGTTAGTTATAACAACAAAAAACATTTGTTCATTAGCCCAGCTTCCATGTCTCAAAATCTCTACAAGACTTAAACTCTATGGGACTTTCTTTTAGAAACTTCTAGTGTGTCCAGGTCAGAGCTGTCACCATTGCCCAATTACAATGACACTGGGAATGACTTGGTGACATCTGCACGTGTGTGCTGTAGTCACACCCTGTTGTTTTTGTGGCTGCTGGTGTTTTTATAATTGCTGATTTTGTCAACTTTTCTGGTGCTTTAACTACAATGTGGTAAAATTAGTAACTGTGAAAGAACATCGGTAACTTTTTTTGAGAACAAAGTAGTCATTAAGAGAGCAAGGAGAAAAAAAAAAGTAAAGACTTCCACTTACACACTAATAATGCTGATTAATACTGTTGTAATTCAATGTAGAAAGATTATACAAACTGATTTTGCTGCTAGTATTCATACATAAAACCTGAAGTTATTAATTTAAGCTACTTAGTAGCTTTATTTGTCACATAGTATTCTAGGAGTAAAGTTGGTAATAAACACTGCTAAGGATTCAGTATGATCTGGTATAGGAGAAGGGGGGGATGACACAAGCTCCCTGGTGCCAGTGGCTAAAACTAAGGCCTTCATATTACAGAGCTCTCATGGGTCAAGGCAGACTGTGGGATCCTTTTTTTTCTCCCCCAAGTACTTATTACACAAAGCTTTATCTTTGCGCTATCTCAGCATAGCAATCATGGCAGGCAGAGAAACATTTTTTGCTATCTCGCCGGGTCTGTGTGGGAGCATTAATTTTAGTGAACCAGAGACTTGGAGAAATTGCCTCAAGGAGGCCTGCCAAGTACATTTTGATGCCCACTTCCCACCTCTTTAGAGGCTCCAGTCATTCAGTCAGTCCTTGTCCTAAGCTCCCTCTGGCTCCATTCAAGACCAACTGGTCATCTCCCCTCCTCTTGGACTCTGCTTCACCATTCACTGTGTGCATGCTGGAGAAGTGGAAGTTGGGGAAGGAAAGGGGAGGCAGGGGAAGGAATGGGTGTTTGGTCTTTATATTCCTTTATCTTCCCTCGTGGACACAAACTTCAGGATTTCTAGTGACTATACATTAGAATTCATGGACTACCAGAGGAAATGTTTCAACATGCTAATGAAGCACTGACTCATCTTTGCCAAGAAATTTGGAAGACAGCTACTTGGCCAACTAACTGGAAGAGATCCATATTTGTACCCCTTCCAAAGAATGGTGACCCAACAGAAAGTGAAAACTATAGAACAAAATCCTTAATATCACAGGTAAGTAAAATTTTGCTGACGATGATCCAACAACAGTTGTAGCAGGAGGTTGACAGAGAGGTGCCAGAGGTTCAGGCCAGATTTAGAAGAAGACTTGGAACAAGGGAGACCACTGCTGATATCAGATGGATCTGGGCCGAAAGCAGAGAATACCAGAAAGATATTTACTTGTGTTTTATTGACTATGCCAAGGCATTCGACTCTATGGATCATAACAAACTATGGAGAGCCTTAAAAAGAATGGGAATTCCAAACACTTTATTGTGCTCCTATAGAACTTGTATATGGATCAAGAGGTAGTAATGCAAACAAAATAAAGTAATGATGCATGGTTTAAAATCAGGAAAGGGGTGCATTAAGGTTGTATCCTCTCACCATGTTTATTCAATCTGTATGCTGAGCAAATCATCAAAGAAGCTGGATAACATGAAGAAGAATGTGCCATCAGGGCTGGAGGAGGCTTCTTAATAACTTAAGATATGCAGATGACACAATCTTGTTTGCTGAAAGTGAAGAGGACTTCACGCACTTGCTGATGAAGATTGAGGATTGCAAATTGGTGGTGAGGTGGGTGTGGGAGGCCTGGTAGGGCATCATCAAGGGGAATGTAACAAAGAGGAAGTGCTGAAGCCCTGGTGGGGACTGAGCATGATAGTGGGACAGGAGGAAAATCAA